ATGTCTTAAGATAATTTTGAATGTACAGAAAGAAAGAGCTGAACTATTGGAATGTGCGGGAAGGAAATCACGTCCACCCTTCGCACATTCTGCCTTCTGCAGTTCAAAAGCACAAATCAGAATAGGCTCTAGACAAATATCAAAGTGCAGTGGGAAACAACAAATGTAATAGTGTGCAACATTCCTCCTAATCTGACCATAACGTGAGATCTCCTTGATCAAATAAGAAAATAAGCTTTTCTTTCAAGATTACCACTTTCGGTGCACACATTTTAAACACATTTCAGCAAGATGCCTGAACTGCAGCCATTTCTATCATGGTGGATAACCAAATGCTTGCGTTAATCTCTAATTAGTTATGCTGAAACTGAGCAATGAGGATAACTATTCTGTGATTTGGCGAAGTAGTTTACTATATATACCATTGCTTTCCCTACTGATTGTGCTTACTAGAGTGAAAAATCTTGAGGAAAAAAGGGCTCTCAATTTTTTCACCATATGCTCTCAAATACCAGATACCTTCACCATCTAAACATAACTTTCATCTTTTACTTAACTTTTTTCTCATTGGTTATGTCTTTGTGCAATATTGCAGTTATGTAATTAACATATCCTGCTTCTGAAAAAAGAGTGAGTCAAGCTATTCTCCAAAGCACCTGAGGGCAGGACAAGAAGCAATGGATGGAAACTAACCAAGGAGAGAAGCAACCTAGAACTAAGGAGAAACTTCCTGACCGTAAGAACAATTAACCAGTGGAACACCCTGCCTCCAGAAACGGTGAATGCTCCGACCCTGGAAGTTTTTAAGAAGAGACTGGACAGCCATATGTCTGACATGGTATAGGGTTCCCTGCCTGAGCAGGGGGTTGGACTAGATGACCTTCAAGGTCCTTTCCAACTTTATTATTATTACCTAGGGGACATCTGATCTAATTCTTCCCATGGAATTTTTAGCACTGTGAAACAGAAGAATTTGCCTCAAGAGGATGGATATGAGTTCCAAAATATTAGGAGCTGCTGAAAAACTTGTGCTTCATATCTGTGATTTCTTAGAGAGGTTGCTATATCCATCAGCGTCCCCCCAGGCATCCCTCGCGGTTAACTTGTCTCACCTGCCGACCCTCTCCGGGAGGCTCCCGGGGGTCGGAGGAGGGCGGCGGGCCGAGCAGGAAGCCCTCGGCCAGGGCCACCGCCTGGGCGCAGCTCTCCGCCCCGCACTCCCGCAGCCAGCCCGCCAGCTCCGGGGGCAGCAGGGCCAGCAGCTGCTCCAGCACCACCCGGTCCACCATCTCGGCTTTGCCGCTCCGCTCGGGCCGCAGCCACTCACGGCACAGCCGGTGCAGGCGGCTGCAGAGCGCCCGGGGCCCCTCGGCCTCCCGGGGGCGGCAGCTGCGGAAGCGCCGGCGCTTGGGCTCGGAGCTGCGAGGCCCCTCGGGGAGGCCTCTCGGGCAGCCGCCGCTCCCCCCTCCAAGGGCTGCGGGGGCTGCTGCTCCTCCCGCCCCCGGAGACCCCGGGGCCTCCATTCGGTCTCCCGCTTCGGCGCAGGCCGAACGGGTGAAAAGCTCCCTTCGCAGCCGCCCTCGGCCACGGCGGAGCCTCCCCCTTTCCCCGCCCCTTTCCCGGTTTCAGGGGGAGCTCCGCTTCCTCAGGGCTTTTCCGCCTCAGCAGGGCAGCTACAAATCGTTCCCGCCAAAACTTCCAGCGCCCTCACGCGCCCCCTCCGGAGCCTGGGTCAGAGAGCGCTGCTCCCTAGAGAGGCACAACGCTGCACGCGATCCTTCGTCTCCCGCCCTGGTCGAGAGAGCCGCCGCACTGAGGGCGGCGAGCACCGACAGGGATTTTCTGCGCGTGCTCCGCTCGTTGCCGGCCGTTGGGACTATTCCTGAGCAGGCGGGGGAGGGGAGAACGCGCGGGTGATGGGCCCGACAGAGGCCGATCGGTGGCTGGAACGAAAAAAGCCGCCTTAGGTGGAAATTGGTTTAATTACAGCTTGTTCTACACCTGGGATTTCTGTGGTCTGGAAATCCTCTTGGAAATGTGGGTGTGATCCTGGGACAGGTGGAAGAAGTGTGTGTGTGTGTGTGTTGATCTGATGGAGGACGCTGCTAATGTGACAAATGGAAAGAGAAGAGCAGGCATCCAGGCAGTAGATTTATTTGTTTTATCATTAAACTAGGCCAGTCTGTGGTGCTTTGGGTTAAATATCAAAAAGATATTTGTATATGTTGTACACGTGTTGTATATAGCATGTTTAGATATGTGTCATGTATGTTTCACTTTGAGAGTGGGCAACTAAATTTCATTTTGGATGTGTGCCTTGTGCCCACAGTAAAAAAAAAATGACAATAAAGGTTAGCTTATTTCCCTACCTAAACGATAAACGGAGAAAGAATGGCCAGTGGAAGTCAGAATATCAATGGGAGAAAGCAATTTTGGATTTCCTGCTGGCTTCCCCATCGATTATCCTTGTGAGAAGCTGACAGCGAGCATGGAAATCTTTTCTGCCTTCACCCTTTTGTTCCAGCTTTTTTTCTTCCCCTCCTCAAAGCCCTCTGGTGAGAATCCACTAGCAATTACAGGTGTATATTTTAGTTTAGACCAGTCAGCATAGCTGACTCAGGAATTCTGGGAGTTGAAGTCCATGAGTCATAAAAGAGCTGAGGTTGCCTACCTCTGGTCTAGACTGATGTGTGTTACACACCTAAAATCTTCCACATTCAATTCTTACGGATCTCTGCCTAAAATCTTCCATAATCAATTCGTATGGATCTCGTTTGGGTTCTTGTTTTATCATGCAGAGAGAATGTATCTGAACTTCCTACACCACACCGTACACAGCTATACATCTTTTAGTTCCCAAATCCCAGACTTGCTTTTTGATCTACGAAACCTCAAATTCTTTCAAAAGATCCCAACTAACCACATTTCAGTGCAACTAACAGGCAAACCCAACTCAGCGGCAAATTTTGGTCCAGGTTGTTGTTGTTGTTAGTTGCGAAGTTGTATCTGACCCATCGCGACCCCATAGACATTTCTCCAGGCCTTCCTGTCCTCTACCATCTTCTGGAGTCCCTTTAAGCTCATGCCTACTGCTTCAGTGACTCCGTCCAGCCCCCTCATTCTCTCTCGTCCCCTTCTTCTATTGCCCTCAATCTTTGCCAGCATTAGGCTCTTCTCCAGTGAGTCCTTACTTCTCATTAGGTGGCCAACCCCTCAAAATTAGATTGAGTAACATCAGAAAACATCTGCACAGAAAGGAAGGCAGGAGAAACAGAAAAAGATGGGGCCAAAAAAGAGGAAAATAAGCAAAAAACAGAGGAAAGTCTTGACAAGACCCTTTTTGAAGTTCTCTGAGCTTAGGAGTATCGACACCCAAGCACAAATGTTTTTACCTTGTGTTCTGGCGAGGTTTGCTCAGCACAGCAGTTCAGACGGGAATTGTCTTGCTTAATCCCTAGTCTGTGTGCAGTTTGAACTTTATGGGGCTGCAGGTTAGAGGCTTTCTAGGGCGCATCCAGTGATTGCATGGACAAAACCTTGCTACAATGACTTAGATGAGGGAATAGAAGGGGAACTCATCAACTTTGCAGATGACACTAAACTGGCAGGAATAGTCAACATCCCCAGAAGACAAGCTCAGGATTCAAAAAGATCTTGACAAACTGGAACAATGGCCCCTATCCAACGATATGAGTTTTAATGTGGAGAAAAGCAAAGTTTTTAAATTTAGGCAGGAAAAATCAAAGGTACAAGTACAGATTGGACGAGACCTGGCTCAAAAACAGTAACTGTGAGAGGGACCTTGGAGTCCTAGTGGACGATCACTTGACCATGAGCCAGTAATGTGCAGCAGCAGCCAAAAAAGCTAATACAATCCTGGGTTGCATAAACAGAGGCGTAGAATCAAGATCACGCGAAGTATTAGTACCGCTTTATAAAACCCTAGTGAGACCACACCTGGAATACTGCAACCAGTAATCCCCATATTACAAAGATGCTGAGACCTTGGAAAAAGTTCAGAGAAGAGCAACTAAGATGATCAAAGGCCTGGAGACTAAAAGATATGAAGAACAGCTGCAGGACTTGGGTTTGGCTAGTCTAAAGAAAAGAAAAGAAGAAATAGGGGTGACATGGTAGCAGTATTCCAGTATTTGAGAGGCCGCCACAAAGAAGAGGGGGTCAAATTATTTTCCAAAGCACCAGAGGGAAGGACAAGAAAGTGATCAAAGAGATAAGGAACCAGAATTAAGCAGAAGCTTCCTGACAGGATAATTAACTAGTGGAACAGCTTGCCTCCAGAAATCGTGGGCACTCCACAACTGGACGTTTTTAAGAAGAAACTGGACAGTCACTTGTCTGAGATGATATAGGTTTTCCTGCTTGAGCAGGGGGCTGGACTAGAAGACCTCCAAAATCCCTTCCAATTCTGCTATTCTATTCTATTCTATTCCATTCCATTCCATTCCAATTCTGCTCTACTCTACTCTATCCTTATTCCTAGATAGTTAATATCTCATTTCTCTTCCAATCTGAATTCCTATTTTTCTGATCAACTGCCAAGGATAAAGTACCTGAATGCTTTTGAGAAATCATGGAACAAATTTATTTATATAATTTATACAAACCAAAAGTCTCTGCTGGTTCCATGCAATAAAAAATTTCCTATGTCTGCCTCCTTTGATGATGAAAAAGTTGACTGTTTGAATTAACCTCATTTCATGGAGTTGCAGGTAGTCCTCAATTTACAGCCATTATTGAGCCCAAAATTTCTGTTGCTAAACGAAACATTTATTAAGTGAGTTTGCCCCATTTTGTGACCTTTCTGGCCACAGTTACGTGAATCGCTGTAGGTGTTAAATTAGTCAAACTGTTGTTAAGTGAATCTGGCTTCCCCACTGACTTGGTCAGGTCACAAAAGGGGATCACATGACTGCGGGACACTGCATCCATCATAAATATGAGTTAATTGCCAAGTGTCTGACTTGATCACATAACCATGGGGATGCAACAATGGTTGTGCGAAAACTGGTCATAACTCACTTTTTTCAGTGCCATTGCAACTTTGAACCATCATTAAACTTGAAAGTCGAGAACCACCTGTATATGGTTTTTACCATATACATCTTTTTGTGAGAAGTGCACCCTTCTCAAATGAAGTTTATTCCACATTCCATGCATGTATAATTTCCTCCTGTGTAGATCTCTTCATGACAAATAAAGGTCCCGTAGTCATTAAAAAGTTTTTTTCACCCTCACTGCATTTGTAAGGATTCTCTCCTGCGTGGATCCTTTGGTGCCGAATAAGGTCTTTGTTGTCAATAAAGCTGTCTTGGCACGCCATACCTTTATATGGTCCCTCCCCCTTATGGATCCTTTTATGAGAATTAAGTTTTCCTTTTTGAGTAAAACTCTTTCCACACTCCAGGCATTTGTATGGTCTCTCTCCTGAATGGATACTTTTATGAGAAATAAGTTTTCCTTTCTCAGTAAAGCTCTTTCCACACTCCAGGCATTTATAGGGCTTCTCCTCTGTGTGAATCATTTGGTGACGAATAAGATCTTTGTTGCCAAAAAAGCTCTTTCCGCACTCCAGGCATGTGCAGGATCTCTTTCCTGTGTGGACCCTTTGATGGGAAGTTAGCTCTCTATTCTCAATGAATCTTTTCCCACATTCCCTGCAAGTATACGGTTTTTCACCTGTGTGGATCCTCTGATGACGGCTCAGGTAAGAGTTTCGACTGAAGCCCTTTCCACACTCTGTGCACTTATAAGGTTTCTCTCCTGTGTGGACCCTTTCATGACAAGTAAGATGTTCTTTCTGAGTAAAGCTCTTTCCACAATCTATGCACTTGTATGGTCTTTCACCTGTGTGGATCCTTTTATGAGAATTAAGTCGTCCTTCCTCAGCAAAGCTCTTTCCACATTCTCTGCATTTATACGGTCTCTCCCCTGTATGGATTCGTTCGTGACGAGTAAGATGTCCTTTCTGAGTAAATCCTTTCCCACACGACATGCATTTGTATGGAGTCTCTACAGGGAGGATCCTTTCATGAAGGGTAAAGTTATCAGCAAAGTTTTTTTCACACTCGATGCACCTATATCGACTCCGGTCTATATTGATCCTTTCATGGCAAGTAAGGTCTCTGTTCTCAATAAACCTCTTTCCACACTCGATGCATTTATACAGTCTCTCGCCTGTGTGGGTCCTTCTATGAGAGCTAAGTTGCCCTTTTTGAGCAAAGCTCTTTCCGCATTCGGTGCACGTATACGGCTTCTCCCCCGTGTGGATCCTTTTGTGATGAGTAAGATGTCCTTTCTGACTGAACTGCTTTCCGCACTCTACGCATTTATGTGGTTTATCACCGGTGTGGACCCTCTGATGGCGATTGAGGTTACTCTTGCTACTGAAGCTCTTTCCACACCTCATGCATAGTTTTATCTTTCTGCTCAAAGTGAAATCCCTCCCAAATTTTACAAAGGTATGTGCTTTGTGTTTCCCATAGAGTTTTGCATGTAAAGCAAGCGAGAAGAACTGGTTGACGTATTTTCCACACTGTTTGGAGACATACTCTTTTCCTGTAGTCTGACTTCTGCCATATTCCCCTAAATCAAATTCATTTTGCTCTCCTTTGCCATATTTTCCTTTTCTCTTCTCTTTCTGACCTGGCTGAGTAAGGAAGCCATGGATTTCGATAGGGAGAGAAATGGAGGGCATCTCCTCTCCATCTTCTGAGGGGCTTCTCGCATGCATTTGTGGGTCCCCTTGATGGCCAAACATTTCTCCCAATTCATGCGTTACTGTTTGCATTGGCATTAACCTTGGCTGCTGGTCATTCTCGTTCTCCAGCCCATCATCTGGTGAAGAAAAGAAAATAGAAATTCCTATTAGGATTTAGATGTCAAGCACCAGGGAAATCAGAAGGTCCAGGCAGTTCAAATGGGTATAAAGATTTCTTGCAAATTTAAGCTCTCTACAAGAACTTGAACTACTAACGGCTAAAGCAAATTGGCAGTAGATAACAGTCAAAGGAATTCAAGATGAGTTGGACTTAAGTCTCTTGTGGGCTCAAGGGGACTCATGACTGATGACACGTTTGATCCCTCCCTCGGGCACAGCCTGGTCCTCTGCTACATTACAAATGTTAAGGACAGGCAATTCCTTTTCTCAAAAACATGGCTGGCTGGCTTGGAGATGTTGGGTGCAAGATGTTATCTAAGAATTTTAATGGAATCCAAGGAATTTTTAGTCGGGAGTCCGACTGACCTGTTATTCTGCCCAGACATTCCCATGGAGTATCTAAGGCCTTTCCCAAAGCTACGGTCAGCGTTTCTGCCAAGGCCTTGGCTGTGACGAGAACCTTGGACAAAATTATCCCTGAATTGTCTTTGCCCTTGACTTGTGATCCAGCAAGATCCTAGCAGTTGAAGGGAATCAAGGAGAAGTGGATAGGGCTATTTTCTGCTAACTACGAAACATGTGTCACCCTGCTTGTTTTCTTGAGATTAGGAAAGGTTTTAAAGATGTGCTATTATTCAGATGGTGGCCAGGTAAGAGTCCTCACACCCTAAGCAAATGAGTGAAGGTATCTTCACTGTTTACCTCCCACTGCAAAGACCTTTCCCAATGAATGGAACCCAGAGCAAAGAGGGTCCTTACCCATGGTGGCCATATTACTGGAAACTTCCAGCATGACTTCCTTGCACAAGGCCTTCTGGCCAGAATCCAGCAGTGCCCACTCCTCCTCTGTGAAGTCCACAGCCACCTCTTCAAAGGGAGTAGAACTCTAGAAAGAGAAACAATATCTTCATTAGTAGACAATCCCAGGAAACACTTTTATGTTTCGGGCACAAAGCAGAAAATAGAGATTTGCAAGACACCAAATGGATATTTTATGGAAAAGAAGGCTTAAGTCTACTTCTCGCCATAATTTTTGTTGGTGTGAAGCTCCAAGTTCAGGCTGTTGCTTTGGCTGCAACAATCTTGGCTTAAGTGCATCTAAGAAATAGAATGTCAACATTGCTCTCACTGGGGAGCCTCTCTCTAGTCCAAAATAATTCAACAAAGAGGTTGGGGAGAGAGTATCTCTGGCCTCACCTGTCTGGTTCAGCAGATTCCTTAGAAAATAGGATAGGGGACTGTAACACATTTTTAGTGGATATATTTCTGCAGTAGTTTTAATCTAATTGGTACTGTTTCACTTCATGGTTTTTATTTTTTAACTTGTTTTGAAAAGTGTTTGAAGAACATTAAGAAAGATGAAACTCTTCCGACTCATAAATTACATGTCCTATTACAGAATAACAGAGTTGGAAGGAGGTCTTCTAGTCCAACCACCTGCTCAAACAGGAGACACAATACAATTCCAGACAAGAGGCTGTCCAGTCTCTTCTCAAAAGTCTCTAGTGATGGACTACCCACAACTTCTGAAGGCAACTTCTTCACTGGTTAATTGTTCTCAATACTAGGAAATTTCTCCTTAATATCATGGGCCCTCAGAGGCCCGTTCGAAGGAGGAAGAGTTGGAGCTGGGACCGGACGACAGGGAAGGCATTAAATATGAGCCAGCAGTGTGCTGCAACTGCCAAAAAAGCCAATACAATGCTAGGCTGAATTAAGAAAGGGATAAAATCAAGATCACGTGAAGTGTTAATATCACTTTACAATGCCTTGGTAAGGCTACACTTGGAATATTGCATCCAGTTTTGGTCACCACAATGTAAAAAAGATGATGAGACTCTAGAAAGAGTACAAAGAGCAACAAAGATGATTAGGGGACTGGAGGCTAAAACATATAAGGAACGGTTGCTGGAATTGAGTATGTCTAATATAATGAAGAGAAGGACGAGGGGTGACATGATAGCAGTGTTCCAATATCTCAGAGGCTGCCACAAAGAAGAGGGAGTCAAGCTATTCTCCAAAGCACCAGAAGGCAGGACAAGAAGCAATGGATGGAAACTAATCAAAGAGAGAAGCAACCTAGAATTAAGGAGAAATTTCCTGACAGAACAATTAATCAGTGGAACAACCTGCCTCCAGAAGTGGTGAATGCTCCAACACTGGATGTTTTTAAGGAGACACTGGACAGCCATTTGTCTGAAATGGTATAGGGTTTTCTGCCTGAGCAAGGGGTTGAACTAGCTGACCTCCAAGGTCCCTTCCAACTTTTATTATTATTATTATTATTATTATTATTATTATTATTATTATTATTATTATTATTATTATTATTATATTTTGCATTTTTCTGCACTTTCCTGAGTCCCAACATTTTATTACCTTACCTTACCTTACCTTATTGTACTATATTATTATTTTGAATAGTCCTTTGTTTGCATTCATACAACAATCTTAAAAGGTGAATGAATGTGACTCAGTGGGCCATTCTGGGGAAACCCCATGTTCAAATGCACACAAACTCAGCATTTGGTTGTAAGAGCAGCTCATGAATGGAAGGAATTTATACTTCTCACAAGAACCCCACACTTACCTGGCAAGGTGGTCCCATTTGGATTCTTCTGAAAAGCTCTTTAGAAGGACTGGATGGATCTCCTGATCCCTGAAGCTCTGCTGAAATATCTCCCATGAATGGCTCCTGCAACTGAAAGAACAGCCTGGTTTATGATCCATTTTCAAATGACTGTAACCATATTAGTTCACATGCTTTACTTTTTTCCTCTCCACTTATATTTCCCCAACCCAAATCATCGAACTTGAAAACTCCAGCTGTACAGTGTTCTCCTTCCAGTAGGAAGACCACCAATCAAGCAGTTCAGGAATAGACCTTGGAATAAAAATAGAGATGCTTTCAGAGGTAAAATGCATCCTCTGAAAACACTGACTGCCATTAAAAAGAAATTTAAATAATTCATTCTTTCTCACCTCCAATTCCTAATCAGGTTTAACTTGTAATGAGAAATTAAGAATTAAGACAATTTTGAAAAAAATAGAAAACAAAAGTTGAACTAGGGAGAATCTCTGTTGGAATGGAATGTAACCTTTTGGGAGATTTGCCCAATAAACTACTTTTGCAATATGATTTTGAAGGATATTCAGCTTTAATGAATGATATATTCTCCATATCAAAGCACAGGGACACACAGAGAGCAATAACATCCCAAAATGGACTAAAAGAATGACATGCCACAAACTGGGAACAGATCATACTAGAATTAGTAACAGTAATAAAAATCATGACAGGCACTTTCATAACCAAAACCTGCCCACACAATCTTTCCACTTACATTAGTTGGGGAAAACATGTAGGTTTGGGATCTGCATCTCTACTTATTTTTGCTGAAACTAAGCAATGTAATTATATTCAAACTGTGATTTGGTAAATTATTTTACTGAACACCACTGCTTTCAAGGATGATTGTGCTCATTACAGCAAAAAAGCTTGGGAGGAAGGGAAAAGTGGTTTCTGTGCTTTTGACTTGTAACAACAAACATAGGGTTTGAAATATGCAACCTAAGTGATATTTAGTCCACCTAAGCCAGTGGTTCTCAACTTTTTTAATGCCGCGACCCCAACCGGTCGTAAGTCGAGGACTAAACCGGTCGTAAGTCGAGGACTAAACCGGTCGTAAGTCGAGGACTACCCAACTGGTCGTAAGTCGAGGACTTTCCCTGCCTGGGAGCGCCGCGCAAGCGTGGTTCCGCCCCCTGAGCCGGCCGAGGCGTAGCTGGCAAGCGGCAGAGACGGAGCAGGCCGACCACCAGCTGGCCCAGCCCAAGGGAGGTAAGGCACCCGCCGGAAAAGGGGAAAAAAATGGCGGACAAAAAAAATGGCAGACAGCCTTGCTTGGCGACCCCCGTGAAATGGTCGATCGACCCCAAATGGGGTCCCGACCCACAGGTTGAGAACCNGCCGAGGCGTAGCTGGCAAGCGGCAGAGACGGAGCAGGCCGACCACCAGCTGGCCCAGCCCAAGGGAGGTAAGGCACCCGCCGGAAAAGGGGAAAAAAATGGCGGACAAAAAAAATGGCAGACAGCCTTGCTTGGCGACCCCCGTGAAATGGTCGATCGACCCCAAATGGGGTCCCGACCCACAGGTTGAGAACCACTGACCTAAACACAATTTTCATGTTTTATTTCATAACTTTTTATAATCCTCTGTTCATTCCTTGTACTAATTGCAGCTGTGTGAAATCCCTTTGCTTTCATTTTCCTGCTTCTTGCCAAATATATTATCTAGGTCGGAGTAGAAACATAACTTTCCAAAATCGGTTAACAGGTCCTATTCCTGAGAAAGAGGATTCACATATCTTAAGTTCACTGCTAATGATACTGACCAAGATTTCTACAAGGACCAGAGAACCGGGATGATCCAATTGATATGTACATATAGGGTGGGATTTTGGGGGAAGAACTATTGTTGGATACAGGAGCCCCCTTAGATTCAGGATTGGGGTCTGTGTTTCTGGTCTGGGAATCCTGATCGGAGGAACCATTTCTCAATCCTTAAGAGCAGGGATCCCCAACCCCCGGTACCGGGCCGCAGCATACCAGCAACTGTGTCCGCACAAACAAGCAAAGCCCCATAAGTGGGATGTAGGCAGCACACAAAACCATGCACTCTCCGGTCCGTGGAAAAACCTTTCTCCACGGAACTGGACCCTGGTGCCCAAAAGGTTGGGGACCTCTGCCTTAGAGGTAGTCCTGAAAAGAACCATGACAATGAATATTAGCTCCATCTTTATTGTAAAGCCACTTGAATAGAACCTTGCAATTCTGAAAGCATTGTCCCCATCCTCTCCTTTTCCTTGCAGCAAAACGAGGAAGAGTTTTACGCATTTTTATGCGTTTTTTTTTTTCATCCCCTCCACCTCCATGTGGAAATGGAGATATCTTTTAAAAATTATTCCTGTCCAGTCTGACATGTTCCCATCTCCCCAAAGTTTATTTCCACATACACCCTCCCGTGTTCTCTGTGTGTCTTTTCTCTGTTAACTGTTTCGCAAAGTGGCGTACAAGAGGCTGAAATTCTCTCTCACCTGCCGGCCCTCTCCGGGGGGCTCCCGGGGGGCGGAGGAGGGCGGCGGGCCGAGCAGGCAGCCCTCGGCCAGGGCCACCGCCTGGGCGCAGCTCTCCGCCCCGCACTCCCGCAGCCAGCCCGCCAGCTCCGGGGGCAGCAGGGCCAGCAGCTGCTCCAGCACCACCCGGTCCAGCATCTCGGCTTTGCTGCTCCGCTCGGGCCGCAGCCACCCGCGGCACAGCCGGTACAGGCGGCTGCAGAGCGCCCGGGGCCCCTCGGCCTCCCGGGGACGGCAGCTGCGGAAGCGCCGGCGCTCGGCCTCGGAGCTGCGGGGACGCTCGGGGAGGCCGCTCGGGTCGCCGCCGCCGCTCCCCGCCTGAAGGGCCGCGGCTGCTCCCGCCCTCAGACACCCCGGGGCCGCCATCCGGCCTCCCGCTTTGGCGCAGCCCGAACGGGGGAAGCTCCCTCTGAGGCGATCCTTGGTCACAGAGGACCCTTCCCCAGCCGCTCCTCCCCCTTGCCACGCCCCTTTCCCGGTTTCTTGGGGGGGACGAGAAGGGGCGGGGCTCCGCTTCCTCAGAGCTTCTGAGGCGGAGAAGAACCGCTGCAAATCACTCCCGCCTCAGGTTCGCGCGCCCTCCTCTCCCCACAGAATCTCGGTCAGAGAGTGCCGCATCCTAGAGAAGGGAAACGCTGCAGCCCCGCCCCGCCCCCGTCCTTCGTTTACTGCTCCTGCCTAGAGCGTCTCCTACGGCAACTGCCGCCTCTCCTGTCCTCTGCTGAGCTTCGAGGGCTGGCTAAGGTCCTGTGCGCATGCCCTGTTCCATGCTGCCGCTTAAAGGATGCCTGGGAGTGGCGGGGGATGCGAGTATAGAAAAGCGCTATAGGTGGGCCTAGAACGGGTAGGCAACCTTGGCTCTTTTTTATGACTCGTGGACTTCAACTCCCAGAATTCCTGAGCCAGCCACGCTGAGGGGAAAGGGAGAGGTTTCCAAGCTGAGCCACGCTGGCTCAGGAATTCTGGGAGTTGAAGTCCAGGAGTCATAAACGAGCCAAGGTGGCCTAGCCCTGGCCTAGAATGATGGGTGCGGTGGAGATTGAGCTGGGCAGAAATGAGGAAAGCGCCTTTGGAGGAAACCTAGTTTGATTATTGCTTCTGAGCAGCTGGGATTTTTCTTCTCTCTACCTCCCCCCATCCTCTTGGAATATGTGGATGGGTTCCTGGGACAGGTGGAAGAAATGGGAGAGGGGGAGGGGAGGAGACTTGAAGGGCAGTGCAAATGTGAGAAATGGAAAGAGCCCCATGGCAGGCGTCCAGCCAGTAAATGTATTTATATATTATTAAATATATAAGCAACGAATGGGGATTCCCTCAGGCCTGTGTATTTGTCCGCTCTGTTGTCTGTATTCCTGTGGTGACCTTCAATGAAGGAATTCCCCCCCCCCTTTTTTTTTCTACAGAGTACGATCTGCTCATCTTTTAATTTGCTCTTTATGTTCTGTTGAAGTCTTTTGACTTTTTTTATTCATCTTTTCTGCTTGATCTTTCCTTGGCTGATTGGTTCTTAAAAAGTTGGTTTCAAGAAGCTGCATGACCTTAAAAAAAAAAAATCCCAGAAATTGACTTCCTGAAGTGGGTTTGTCCTCTTAGGTCAATGTTTCTCAACCTTGACAATTTTAAGGCATGTGGNCAAAGTTTTTTTCACACTCGATGCACCTATATCGACTCCGGTCTATATTGATCCTTTCATGGCAAGTAAGGTCTCTGTTCTCAATAAACCTCTTTCCACACTCGATGCATTTATACAGTCTCTCGCCTGTGTGGGTCCTTCTATGAGAGCTAAGTTGCCCTTTTTGAGCAAAGCTCTTTCCGCATTCGGTGCACGTATATGGCTTCTCCCCCGTGTGGATCCTTTTGTGATGAGTAAGATGTCCTTTCTGACTGAACTGCTTTCCGCACTCCACGCATTTATGTGGTTTATCACCGGTGTGGACCCTCTGATGGCGATTGAGGTTACTCTTGCTACTGAAGCTCTTTCCACACCTCATGCATAGTTTTATCTTTCTGCTCAAAGTGAAATCCCTCCCAAATTTTACAAAGGTATGTGCTTTGTGTTTCCCGTAGAGTTTTGCATGTAAAGCAAGAGAGAAGAACTGGTTGACGTATTTTCCACACTGTTTGGAGACATATTCTTTTCCTGTAGTCTGACTTCTGCCATATTCCCCTAAATCAAATTCATTTTGCTCTCCTTGGCCATATTTTCCTTTTCTCTTCTCTTTCTGACCTGGCTGAGCAAGGAAGCCATGGATTTCGATAGGGAGAGAAATGGAGGGCATCTCCTCTCCATCTTCTGAGGGGCTTCTCGCATGCATTTGTGGGTCCCCTTGATGGCCAAACATCATTTCTCCCACTTCATGCGTTGCTGTTTGCATTGGCATTAACCTTGGCTGCTGGTCATTCTCATTCTCCAGCCCATCACCTGGTGAAGAAAATAAAATAAAAATTCCTATTAGGATTTAGATTTCAAGCACCAGGGAAATCAGAAGGTCCAGGCAATTCAAATGGCTATAAAGATTTCTTGCAAATTTAAGCTCTCTACAAGAACCTGAACTACTAACGGCTAAAGCAAATTGGCAGTAGATAACAGTCGAAGGAATTCAAGATGAGTTGGACTTAAGTCTCTTGTGGGCTCAAGGGGACTCATGACTGATGACACGTTTGATCCCTCCCTCGGGCACAGCCTGGTCCTCTGCTACATTACAAATGTTAAGGACAGGCAATTCCTTTTCTCAAAAACATGGTTGGCTGGCTTGGAGATGTTGGGTGCAAGATGTTATCTAGGAATTTTAATGGAATCCAAGGAATTTTTAGTCGGGAGTCCGACTGACCTGTTATTCTGCCCAGGCATTCCCATGGAGTATCTAAGGCCTTTCCCAAAGCTACGGTCAGCGTTTCTGCCAAGGCCTTGGCTGTGACGAGAACCTTGGACAAAATTATCCCTGAATTGTCTTTGCCCTTGAATTGTGATCCAGCAGGATCCTGGCAGTTGAAGGGAATCAAGGAGAAGTGGATAGGGCTATTTTCTGCTAACTACGAAACATGTGTCACCCTGCTTGTTTTCTTGAGATTAGGAAAGGTTTTAAAGATGTGCTATTATTCAGATGGTGGCCAGGTAAGAGTCCTCACACCCTAAGCAAATGAGTGAAGGTATCTTCACTGTTTACCTCCCACTGCAAACACCTTTCCCAATGAATGGAACCCAGAGCAAAGAGGGTCCTTACCCATGGTGGCCATATTACTGGAAACTTCCAGCATGACTTCCTTGCACAAAGCCTTCTGGCCAGAATCCAGCAGTGCCCACTCCTCCTCTGTGAAGTCCACAGCCACCTCCTCAAAGGGAGTAGAACTCTAGAAAGAGAAACAATATCTTCATTAGTAGACAATCCCAGGAAACACTTGTACGTTTCGGGCACAAACCAGAAAACAGAGATTTGCAAGACACCAAATGGATATTTTATGGAAAAGAAGGCTTAAGTCTACTTCTCGCCATAATTCTTGTTGCTGTGAATCTCCAAGTTCAGGCTGTTGCTTTGGCTGAAACAATCTTGGCTTAAGTGCATCTAAGAAATAGAATGTCAACATTGCTCTCACTGGGGAGCCTCTCTCTAGTCCAAAATAATTCAACAAAGAGGTTGGGGAGAGAGTATCCCTGGCCTCACCTGTCTGGTTCAGCAGATTCCTTAGAAAATAGAATAGGGGACTGTAACACATTTTTAGCGGATATATTTCTGCAGCAGTTTTAATCTAATTGGTATTGTTTCACTTCATGGTTTTTATTTTTTAACTTGTTTTTGAAAAGTGTTTTGAGGAACATTGAGAAAGATGAAACTCTTCTTCATAAATTACATTTCCTATTACAGAATAACAGAGTTGGAAGGAGGTCTTCTAGTCCAAGCACCTGCTCAAACAGGAGACACAATACAGTTCCAGACAAGAGGCTGTCCAGTCTCTTCTCAAAAATCTCCATTGATGGACCACCCACAACTTCTGAAGGCAACTCCTTCATTGGTTAATTGTTCCCAATTCCCTTACCTTACCTTATCTTATTGTACTATATTATTATTTTGAATAGTCCTTTGTTTGCATTCCTAGAACAATCTTAAAAGGTGAATGAATGTGACTCAGTGGGCCATTCTGGGGAAACCCCATGTTCAAATGCACACAGACTCAGCATTTGGTTGTAAGAGCAGCTCATGAATGGAAGGAATTTATACTTCTCACAAGAAACCCACACTTACCTGGCAAGGTGGTCCCATTTGGATTCTTCTGAAAAGCTCTTTAGAAGGACTGGATGGATCTCCTGATCCCTGAAGCTCTGCTGAAATATCTCCCATGAATGGCTCCTGCAACTGAAAGAACAGCCTGGTTTATGATCCATTTTCAAATGACTGTAACCATATTAGTTCACATGCTTTACTTTTTTCCTCTCCACTTGTACTTCCCCAACCCAAGTCATCAAACTTGAAAACTCCAGCTCTATGGTGTTCTCCTCCCAGTAGGAAAACCACCAATCAAGCAGTTCAGGAGTAGACCTTGGAATAAAAATAGAGATGCTTTCAGGGGTAAAATGCACCCCCTGAAAACACAGACTGCCATTAAAAAGAAATTTGAATAATTCCTTCTTTCTCACCTCCAATTCTTAGTCAGGTTTAACTTGTAATGAGAAATTAAGAATGAAGACAATTTTGAAAAAATAGAAAAACAAAAGTTGAATAGGGAGAATCTCTGTTGGAATGGAGCGTAACCTTTCGGCAGATTTGCCCAATAAACCACTTTTGCAATATGATTTTGAAGGGTATTCAACTTTAATGAATGATATATTCTCCATATCAAAGCACAGGGACACACAGAGAGCAATAATATCCCAAAATGGACTAAAAGAATGACATGCCACAAACTGGGAACAGATCATACTAGAATTAGTAACAGTAATAAAAATCATGACATGAACTTTCATAACCAAAACCTACCCACACAATCTTTCCACTTACATTAGTTGGGGAAAACATGTAGGTTTGGGATCTGCATCTCTACTTATTTTTGCTGAAACTAAGCAATGTAATTATACTCAAACTGTGATTTGGTAAATTATTTTATTGAACACCACTGCTTTCAAGGGTGATTGTGCTCATTACAGCAAAAAAGCTTGTGGGGGGAGGGAAAAGTAGTTTCTGTGCTTTTGCTTTGTAACAGCAAACATAGGGTTTGAAATATGCAACCTAAGTGCTATTTGGTCCACCTAAACACAATTTTCATGTTTTATTTCATAACTTTTTATAAATCCTCTGTTCATTCCTTGTACTAATTTGCAGCTGTGTGAAATCCCTTTGCTTTCATTTTCCTGCTTCTTGCCAAATATACTGCTCAAAAAAATAAAGGGAACATTTTACCATGGAACTGAAGGGGTTTGCGTTCCCTTTATTTTTGTGAGCAGTATATATTATCTAGGAGAAGAAACACTACTTTCCAAAATCGGTTAACAGGTCCTGTTCACGAGAAAGAGGATTCATTTATCTTAAGTTCACTGCTAATGGTACTGACCAAGATTTCTAAAAGGACCAGAGAACCGGGAGGATCCAATTGATATAAACATATAGGGTGGGATTTGGGGGGAAGAATTATCGTTGCATACAGAAGGCCCCTTAGATTCAGGATTTGGGTCTGTGTTTCTGGTTTGGGAATCCTGATCGGAGGAACCATTTCTCAATCCTTAAAGCAGGGGTCCCCAACCCCGGGTACCGGCAGCATACCAGCAACTGTGTCCGCACAAACAAGCAAAGCCCCATCAGTGGGATGCAGGCAGCACACAAAACCATGCACTCTCCGGTCCGTGGAAAAACCTTTCTCCACGGAACTGGACCCTGGTGCCCAAAAGGTTGGGGACCTCTGCCTTAGAGGTAGTCCTGAAAAGAACCATGACAATGAATATTAGCTCCATCTTTATTGTAAGGCCACTTGAACAGAACATTGCAATTCTGAAAGCATTGTCCCCATCCTCTCCTTTTCCTTGCAGCAAAACGAGGAAGAGTTTTACGCATTTTTATGCGTTTTTTTTTTCATCCCCTCCATGTGGAAATGGAGGTATCTTTTAAAAATTATTCCTGTCCAGCCTATGACATGTTCCCATCTCCCCAAAGTTTATTTCCACATACACCCTCCCGTGTTCTCTGTATGTCTTTTCTCTGTAACTGTTTCGCAAAGTGGCGTACAAGAGGCTGAAATTCTCTCTCACCTGCCGGCCCTCTCCGGGGGGCTCCCGGGGGGCGGAGGAGGGCGGCGGGCCGAGCAGGCAGCCCTCGGCCAGGGCCACCGCCTGGGCGCAGCTCTCCGCCCCGCACTCCCGCAGCCAGCCCGCCAGCTCCGGGGGCAGCAGGGCCAGCAGCTGCTCCAGCACCACCCGGTCCAGCATCTCGGCTTTGCCGCTCCGCTCGGGCCGCAGCCACCCGCGGCACAGCCGGTACAGGCGGCTGCAGAGCGCCCGGGGCCCCTCGGCCTCCCGGGGACGGCAGCTGCGGAAGCGCCGGCGCTCGGCCTCGGAGCTGCGGGGACGCTCGGGGAGGCCGCTCGGGTCGCCGCCGCCGATCCCCGCCTGAAGGGCCGCGGCTGCTCCCGCCCCAAGACACCCCGGGGCCGCCATCCGGCCTCCCGCTTTGGCGCAGCCCGAACGGGGGAAAGCTCCCTCTGAGGCGATTCTTGGTCACAGAGGACCCTTCCCCAGCCGCTCCTCCCCCTTGCCACGCCCCTTTCCCGGTTTCTTGGGGGGACGAGAAGGGGCGGGGCTCCGCTTCCTCAGAGCTTCTGAGGCGGAGAAGAACCGCTGCAAATCACTCCCGCCTCAGGTTCGCGCGCCCTCCTCTCCCCACAGAATCTCGGTCAGAGAGTGCCGCATCCTAGAGAAGGGAAACGCTGCAGCCCCGCCCTCCCCCCGTCCTTCGTTTACTGCTCCTGCCTAGAGCGTCTCCTACGGCAACTGCCGCCTCGCCTGTCCTCTGATGAGCTTCGAGGGCTTGGCTAAGGTCCTGTGCGCATGCCCTGTTCCATGCTGCCGCTTAAAGGATGCCTGGGAGTGGCGGGGGATGCGAGTATAGAGAAGAGCTATAGGAGGGCCTAGAACGGGTAGGCAACCTTGGCTCTTTTTTATGACTCGTGGACTTCAACTCCCAGAATTCCTGAGGCAGCCACGCTGAGGGGAAAGGGAGAGGTTTCCAAGCTGAGCCACGCTGGCTCAGGAATTCTGGGAGTTGAAGTCCAGGAGTCATAAAAGAGCCAAGGTTGCCTACCCCTGGCCTAGAATGATGGGTGCGGTGGAGATTGAGCTGGGCAGAAATGAGGAAAGCGCCTTTGGAGGAAACCTAGTTTGATTATTGCTTCTGAGCAGCTGGGATTTTTCTTCTCTCTCCCTCCCCCCATCCTCTTGGAATATGTGGATGGGTTCCTGGGACAGGTGGAAGAAATGGGAGAGGGGGAGAGGAGGAGACTTGAGGAAGGGCAGTGCAAATGTGAGAAATGGAAAGAGCCCCATGGCAGGCGTCCAGCCAGTGAATGTATTTATATATTATTAAATATATAAGCAATGAATGGGGATTCCCTCAGGCCTGTCTGCTCTGTTGTCTGTATTCCTGTGGTGACCTTCAATGAAGGAATTCCCCCCCTTTTTTTTTCCCCTACAGAATACGATCTGCTCATCTTTTAATTTGCTATTTATGTTCTGTTGAAGTCTTTTGACTTTTTTTATTCATCTTTTCTGCTTGATCTTTCCTTGGCTGATTGGTTCTTAAAAAGTTGGTTTCAAGAAGCTGCATGACCTTAAAAAAAAAAAATCCCAGAAATTGACTTCCTGAAGTGGGTTTGTCCTCTTAGGTCAATGTTTCTCAACCTTGACAATTTTAAGGCATGTGGACTTCAACTCCCAGAAGAAGTCATAAAAGCCAAGGTTGCCTACATATCGCTGGCCGTAACAACTGGGTCAGATAGTGGTTCTAAGAATACACAGAAGGAGACAGTGGGAGAAGTACACGTCATAAGAGTTTATTAATAAGGTTCCAAGAGTATAAAGAGTTTCTTCTCCAAAATGTGTTGGGAAGCTTAAGCGGTGGAGAATAATTGCCTTGGCAACTGCTCAAAAGTATGCAGTCGTTTGGGGGGGCTGATCTCACTCCTTCAACTTCTCCTGGTCAGAAGATAACAAAAGGAAATGACAAGATTTCTTTAGTTCGGGGGTCTTCAAACCTGGCCCTTTTACGACTTGTGGACTTCAACTCTCAGAATTCCTCAGCCAGCGTGCCTGGCTGAGGAATTCTGGGAGTTGAAGTCCACAAGTCGTAAAAGGGCCAAGTTTGAAGACCCCTGCTTTAGCTAAAGGGGAGAAACACAAACACTATTTTGTGGGAATTAACATCTGCAGACTGTAATCCTTTCTAAATTTGGTACATTTATACAATTTCAGATACATGCTCGGCATCACAAATATACCATGCTATCAAGATAGTGTTCCAATGTCTCGGGCTGCCACAAAGAAGAGTCAAGCTATTCTTCAAAGTGCCTGAAGGCAGGACAAGAAGCAACGGATGGAAACTAACCAAGGAGAGAAGCAACCTGGAACTAAGGAGAAACTTCCTGACACTTAGAACAATTAACCAGTGGAACAACCTGCCTCCAGAAGCAGTGAATGCTGCAACACTGGAAGTTTTTAAGAGACTGGACAGCCATTTGTCTAAGTGGTATAGGGTTTCCTGCCCGAGCAGGGGATTGGACTAGATGACCTCCAAGGTCCCTTCCAACTTTATTATTATTATTATTATTAGTAGTAGTAGTAGTAGTAGTAGTAGTAAACTAATGGAAATGGGCAGGTCACATAGCAAGAACTGATGACGGGTGCACTAAAGCAGACAATGGATTCCAGTTGATAAAAAGCATTCACAAGATACAACATGATGGAGTGACAACATCAGCAAGTATTGCAGGCCCAACTGGCCAAGGAAATCTCAAGACTATATTGATTGGAAACATGCAGAAGAGACCTTTATACTGTAAGGGATAAACAATGGTTAGAATGGCGATGATGCAATTTGTTTTGTATAGAGTTTTTTCAGTAAACTAAGAGGGAAGTCAAGAAAGCCATCAGTCCTCCGTTTGAAAAAGATAGTAAGGGGGTAATGGGCAACAGGGAGTAAACTGAAGTAAATTTTGCAGCCCTCTTTCCACATCACGTGAAAAGAAAAATGCACTCTGAAACAAGCAATGGAAGACCTGACTGGACTGAATGAAATCCAGTATTTGGGAGCAGAAAGATAATGAAGATCCTTCAATGGATTTATATGGTTTCTTCTGTGGGCATTCTTTTATGAGAATTATAGTGTCCTTCCAAGTAAAGCTTTATCCACTCCCCCTACATTTACATAATTTCTCCTGTGTGGATCCTCTAATGGTGAGTCAAATAAAGAGTTCCTATTGGAGGCCTTTCCACTTTATTCATTGAGGTTTCCACCCAGTGTGAATCCTTTCACGACAAGATGTTCTTTCCCAGTAAAATTATTTCCACACTCCATTCATTAATATGAAATTTCCCTGTGTGGATTCTGCCATGAGTAAATGTCCTGTGATTGTTAAAAGCTTTCTCCACACTACATGCATTTATATGGTCCCACCTCCAGGTGGATCCTTTTATGGGAATTAAGTGCCCCTATTTGAGCAAAGCTTCTTCCACACTCTAGGCATTTATATGGTCTCTCCCCTGTATGGATTCTTTCATGATTAATAAGAGCATTTTTCTGAGTAAATTGCTTTCCGCACTCCATGCACTTGAATGGTCTCTCCCGAGTGTGGATTCTTTCATGACGAATAAGATCTCTGTTCCAGTTAAAGCTTTTTCCACACTCCAAGCATTTATATGGTCTATCCACTGAGTGGATCCTTTTGTGAGAATAAAGATGCCCTGTCCGAGCAAAGCTTTTTCCACACTCGGTGCATTTATATGGTTTATCTCCTGTGTGAATTGTTTCATGACCGGCAAGACATCCTTTCCGAGCAAAACTCTTTCCACACACCAAGCATTTATACGGTCTCTCCCCGGTGTGGATCCTTTTATGAGAATTAAGATGTGCTGTTTGAGCGAAGCTTTTTCCACACTCCGTGCATTTATATGGTCTCTCCCCAGTATGGATCCTTTCGTGATGTATTAGACCTCTGCTCCAATTAAAGCTTTTCCCACATTCTAAACATTTATATGGTCTCTCCCCGGTGTGCATTCTTTTATGAGCATTCAGTTGTACTGTTTGAGCAAAGCTTTTTCCACACAATGTGCATTTATACGGTTTCTCCCCCAGGTGGATCCTCTCGTGACCAGTAAGACATCCTTTCTGAGCAAAACTTTTTCCGCACTCCATGCACTTGTAGGGTCTCTCCCCAGTGTGGATCCTTTCGTGACGAATAAGATCTTTGCTCCAGTTAAAGCTTTTTCCACACTCCAAGCATTTGTATGGTCTTTCTCCCGTGTGCATCCTTTGGTGGAAAGTAAGGCGCCAGTTGTCGATAAACCCCTTTCCACACTCCATGCATTTATATGATCTCTCTCCCGTGTGGATCTTTTTATGAGAATTAAGTTTTCCTTTCTGAGTGAAGCTCTTTCCACACTCCAAGCACTTATACGGCTTGTCTGCTGTGTGGATCCTTTGATGTCGATCAAGTTCACTGCTCTCAAAAAAGCTCTTTCCACATTCCAGGCAATTATATGGTCTGTCCCCGATATGTATCTTTTTAGGACAAATAACCTCTGTTTTCTGACAAAGGCTTTTTTCACATTCTGGATATTTACCTGGCCTCTCGCCTAGGTAGATCCTCTGGTGGCAGTTAAAATTACTCGTGCTAATGAAGCTGTTTCCATACTTCATGCACAGTTTCATCTTTTTGCTCAGACTGAAATCCCTCTCGTATTTGACAAATGTATGCGGTTTATGTTTCCTGTGCAGTATTTTAGGTAAAGTAAAAGAGAAGGAATGACTCTTTGACGAGAGTGCTCTTTGCAGCGTCAATAACCCTGGCTGCTTGTTATTCTCGTTCCTCAGCTTATCACCATCACCTGTTTAGAAAAAAAAGAAAGAAATTCTCATTAGAACTTACAAGAATAGAGAAGGGGCGGGGGGACCCTCCCTAGTGAAAAATATGCCCATCTGGGCATCAGGTTTGACACCAGCCCTGTGTCAACATAGGAGATGTTCGGTTGAAGTTGTTATCTAGGTGGGAGACTCTAATGCTAATCCAAGAGATTTTTCAGCCCTGAACCAGATAAAGGCTTTGCTGTTGATAGGTCAATCTGCTTATGGTGAGCATTTCTGCCAAGGCCTTAGTTGTGTTCTTGAAGAGTGGCTGTGATGACCACCTGGGATAAAATTGCCCATGAAGTGCCTTGGCTGGTTTGTCATCCAGGGGCCCTGGCGATTAAAGAGAATCAAAGGGAAGTGTATGGGGCTCTTTGCACCTGTGGCTCCTCCATTGGGTATTATCTACAAGCTAAACCAGGGGTAGGCAACCTTGGCTCTTTTATGACTCGTGGATTTCAACTCCCAGAATTCCTGAGCCAGCCATGCTGAGGGGAAAGGGAGAGGTTTCCAAGCTGAGCCATGCTGGCTCAGGAATTCTGGGAGTTGAAGTCCACGAGTCATAAAAGAGCCAAGGTTGCCTACCCCTGAGCTAAACATTCTGATTTTCCTGAGATTAGGGAAGGTTTCACAGGCGGTAGCCAGATAAAACGTCTGACCATCTTAAGTATCTGAGTGCAGGTATCTTCCCTGTTTACCTGCCACTGAAAACACCTTTCCCAATGAAGGGAATCCAGAGAAAAGAGGATCCTTACCCAGAGTGGCCATATTACTGGAAACCTCCAGCATGACTTCCCTCCACAAGGCCTTCTGTCCAGAATCCAGCAGTGCCCACTCCTCCTCTGTGAAGTCCACAGCCACCTCCTCAAAGGGAGCAGAGCTCTAGAAAGAGAAGCAACATCTTCATTAGTAGACAGTCCTCTCTTATGTTTTCTTTCTCACTTCCAAAAGAGAAAACAGAGCTTTGCAAGAGATCAAATGGACATTTTCTTGTAGGACAGGCATAGGCCCTGCAGGTACACAAGGTCTTTTAAAAGGGTGGGAAGCCTCCCTCCAGCTCCTCCATGCTGCTGTTGTAAACGTGGCTTAGATGCATCCAAGTTGTAGAATGGCACCCCTTGGGGACCCCCACCCCTCCTGGAATAACTCACCACAATGGTTTTGGGCAGAAGGAATCCCATAGCCTCATCTCCCTGGCTCAGCAAAATACAAATTTCTTAGAAAACAGACCAAAACTACTAAGAATTTTTTAACCTGGCCCGTTTTAAAATGTTGTAAATGACCCTGGAAATATCAAGTCACTTGACCAACAGACTTACTGTGATGACCCAGGGCACAGCAGTCAGCTGGCAATTCAAACAGTTCTTTTATTGCTCCAAATTTTCCCCAAACGCTCCCACGTTTGCTGGCAAGCCTCCAACAACAGAACACACACACAAACACACCCCTTCAGCCGACTCTGGCTGAAAGTAGGTTCAGATACAGTCTGATTAGCATAAGAAAGTACTCAAGGCCATAGAGATAACAAGGAAGAAAACATAAACTTAAGGAGTCTGTTTGAATCCTAGCTTGCCTGAGCAGTTTTCAAAAGAGAGAATCCGAAATACAGTCCAATAGTCAAAGTTTCCAGGTTTCCAAACAGAAGTCACAGAACAAGAGATCAGCAACAATACACAACACTCCAAGGAATCAGCGTTTGTTCCCCACAAATGCCCCTCGCCACAGCATCTCCTTAAATCTCAATTTCCAGGTGTTCCTTGTGGAGAAGGGCAGGACGCTCTTGTAATTGAGCTTGCCTGCATTGTTCCCTCCTTCTCTCCGTGCTCTAGGATCAGGTGGGGGTGGCCCTTGCTCATCGCCTGAACTCTGCCTCTCTTGTTCCTCCTGTCCCAATCCTGAAGAGCCCTGGCCTGCCTCAGCCTGCTCTTCCCCACATTCCTCTGAAGCCACAGACACCTCTCCCATGACCTCCATAAGGTCCTGTTCCAGTTCATTTTCCTCCGCAGATTCAGGCTCAGACGGAGGCATGACACTTACCATTAAAAGGTGTCAGCTTTGACTTAGATCAGTGGTGGCAAACCTATGGCACGCATGCCAGAGGCGGCACTCAGAGCCCTCTCTGTGGGCACATGCGCCATGCCCCAGAGATGGCAACTGTCCTTCTTCAACCAGCCACCCGCTAACTCGCCAAGGTCCCACGTGGCTGGATGCATCCCAGCACCCATGCGCTCTCTGGCCTCTGTGTGCGGGGGCCGATGGTATCAGGCAGCAGCCGCCCCGGTCCCTGCCTCACCTTGACCTGCAACAATGGCATCCCCGCCCTGCCTCGCCTCACCCCGCAGGATGAGCCTCCTGCCCATTGCCCCACTTGCCAGAGACCCTCTGGATCTCCCTCAATCCTGCCTGGCCCCCACATGCGTCCCTCCCCACAAACCTCAAGGTGATCACGCCCACCTTGGCCATACCCACCCAGTCTGCCATGACCACCACAGCCACGTCCACCCACTGGTCCACGCCTACCTGGCACCCGGCGATAAATAAGTGGGTTTTGGGTTGCGGTTTGGGCACTCGGTCTCTAAAAGATTCACCATCACTGATTTAGATTTTATAGGAGAAATTTGTCCTTCCCGTAGTTTACTTTTAAGTGGATATATTGGCCTGCTTCTGAAGCAGTTTTTGTACAACTGATAACTGTTTCCCTTCGTGGCTTTTATTTTTTAACTGCTTTTCCAAAGTCTTTAGAACAATATTAAGAGAGATCAAACTCTTCCAACATGTAAATTATATTTGCAAATAGAAGACTCTTCTGAATTGTCCTTTGTTTGCATTCCCAGAACAATCTTGGAGGTTGAATGAGCGAGGCTCACTGGTTCATTCTGTGGGGACAGCAGGTTCAAATGTACACAGGTTCAGCATTTGGTTTTCAGAGTAGCTCATGAACGAAAGGCGTTTAAACTTCTCACAAGAAAGCTACACTCACCTGGCAAGGTGACCCCAGTTGAATTCTCCTGAAAGGAAGCTCTTCAGAATCGTCGGACGGATCTCTTTTTCCATGGAGCTCTGCTGAGATCTCCCCAATGAATGGCTCCTGCACCTGAAAGGAAAGTCTGGCTTATGATCCGCTTTCAAATGACTTTAACCACGTTAGTTCGCTTGTACTTTTCCAACCCAAGTTGAAATAAGAGCTGTGTGGGTTGCTGTCATTTCTGAATAAACACCTGCCACTTTTGTAAAATTACTTCATTGCTTTTTTTTTAATTCCGTTGTCCTTTGGATCAGGAGCTACTTCTTCTTCTCCTCCCCTTTACTTGATGACTGTGGCTTTTGCTTCTTTGTGAATGTATTTATGCCTATTCTGTCTTGTCCTCTTTCTATCTCCTGAGGGGGGAAAAAAAGGATTACTCTCTCCTTCCTTTTGTGGTGCCTTCTCTGTGCCTCTTGCAGTGATGAGACCACCAACCTGGCAGTTCAAGAGGAGATCTTGGAATGAATACCGAAATAGTTTTTGAGGTAAAATGCACCCCCTGAAAATAATATGACTGTCATTAAAAGGCAATTTCGACACTTCATTCTTTCTCACTGCAAATTCCCAATCAGGTTTAACTTGTAATGAGAAATGTTTTAAGGCGATTTTGAAAATATAGAAAAACAACACCAGAACAAGGGAGAATCTCTTATGCAACAGAATGTAACCTTTCGGCATATTTGCCCAATAAGCCACTTTTACAAAATGATTCCGAACGATATTCAACTTTAATGATATACTCTCCATATCAAAGCACAGGGATACGCAAAGGGTAATAATAGTCTAAGGCAGACTAAAAGAATGGCATGCCACAAACTGGGAATAGATCAAACTAGAATTAGTGAGTAACAGTAATTAAAATCATGACAGGTGCATTTAATTTGTTGCTTTCCCTCACTATTGCGGTAGTATATGGCATACTAAAACATAGATGCTCCATTTCATTTATTACAAGTAGCACTATACAGTATGTAGACTGGTAACAACAGAGTAAATATACAATGTAATACCTAGTGCTTTGACCCTGTACCAGAGGTATTTTACATAATCTAAATGCTGGGTTGTATTCAGCTAGAATGACAGGAAATCATAATGTAAACACTGATTTTATGACACATGTTGATAATATCAGGAAGGATACACAAGTGTATAAAGTAAGAGAAAGCTCAGTTTAATAGCCTATCAAAACAGTCCAGGAAATAATGCTATATAATTGCATTAGTTACTTTATTTTTTTCTTCTTATAATTCTATTTGAAATGGTAATGACAATATGTATTTAATCTGAAAAGTAGGTTTGCTCAGGCCTCTTTCCTGCTGTCGACAGCTAGGGAGCCTCATGATCACTGTAAACCAATATGAATAAGGTATACCTTGTTGTTTTCTTATGACCTTTTTTCTTACAACTCTATCTGATTTACAATAGGAACTCTGCTTAGAAGCCAGGAAACACATAACTTGTGTTAAGTAATAATCAATCTTTCTGCTTATGTTAGTTGGGAAAGTCTTATAGTCTTGGGATTTGCATTTCTTAATTAGTTGTGCAGAAACTAAGCAATGTAAAAAATGGATAACTCTATTCACACTGTGACGTGGTAATGTATTTTAGTGTATACCACTGCTTTCTAGGGTGTTTGTACTCATTACAGCCAAAACAGGAGGGGGAAAAAAGGGGGCTTTCAGTGTTTTTGCCTCGTAATATCAAAAATAGGTTTTGAAACATGCAAGTTAAATACTATTTCAGCCACCCTAAACACTATTTTCATATTTTATAACTTTTTATAGTGCTCTGTTCATTCTTTGTACAAATAGCACTCGACTTCTGCATTTGAGCCCAAAATTTGTGTTGCTGAGACAGTTGTTAGATGAGTTTTGCCCCAATTTACGTCCTTTCTTGCCACAGTTGTTAAATGAACCACCGCAGTTGTTAAATTAGTTGAGTCTGGCTTCCCTATTGACTTTGCTTCTTCTTGTTGTTGTTGTTAGTCACGACCCCATGAACAACGTTCCTCCAGGCCATCCTGTCCTCTACCATCTTCTGGAGTCCATTTAAGCTCACGCCTACTGCTTCAGTGACTCCATCCAGCCACCTCATTCTCTGTCGTCCCCTTCTTCTATTGCCCTCAATCTTTCCCAGCATTAGGCTCTTCTCCAGTGAGTCCTTCCTTCTCATCAGGTGGCCAAAGTATTTGAATTTCAACTTCAGGATCTGGCCTTCTAAAGAGCAGTCAGGGTTGATCTCCTGTAGGACTGACCAGTTTGATCACCTTGTTAGATGGTCACAAAAGGTGATCACATAATCCAGGGAAATTGCAACCGTCATAAATATGGGACAGTTGCCAAGCACCTGAATCAGATGACCGTGAGGATGCTGCAACAGTCGTTAAGTATGAAAAACGGTCTTAAGTTACTATTTTCAGTGCTGTTTTAACCTCAAATGGTCGCTAAATGAATGGTTGTAAGTTAAGGACTACCTGTACTAATTTGCACCGGTGTGAAATACCTGCTTTTGTTTTCCTGCTTCTTTCCAGAAATATTATCTAGAACAGGGGTGTCAAACTGCCAGTCCATGGGCCAGATGCATCACGAGGAAACCGCGCCCACCCCATTGCCAGCAATGGGCAAAAAGCTCTGATATGTCGCGTGACGTCACGAGTTTGACATGTCTGATCTAGAAGAAGAAATATAATTTTCCAACATCCAGTTTGGTTAACATGAGAAAGAGGTTCACTTAAGTTCAATGCTAATGGTACTGACCAAGATTTCTAAGAGGACCCAGAGAACTGGGATGATCCAATTGATATATTGTTTGGATACAGGAGTCCTCTTAGATTCAGAGTTCGGGTCTGCATCCCTGTTTTGTGAATCCTGACTGGAGGAACCATTTATCAGCCCTTCGAGGTAGACCAGATAAAAACCATGACAATGAATATTAGCTCTATGGTTATTATAAAGCCACATACATAGAATATTGCAACTCTCAAAGCATTTTTCCCATCCGCTCCTTTTACTTGACATATCTTTTACATTATGGTTATCCAGTCCATAACGAAGTATGTGGTGTAGACCTAGATCAGGGGTAGGCAACCTTGGCTCTTTTATGACTCGTGGACTTCAACTCCCAGAATTCCTGAGCCAGCATGGCTGGTTCAGGAATTCTGGGAGTTGAAGTCCACGAGTCATAAAAGAGCCAAGGTTGCCTACCCCTGACCTAGATAAAATAGAATGTGGGAATAATATCCCACAAAGTTATTCCCACATACTGTAACACCCGCCCAACACGTGTTGTCTGGGTGTTTTTTTTGCCACTCTTTATATCACCGGGTCTTCAAACTTGGCCCTTTTATGACTTGTGGACTTCAACTCCCAGAATTCCTCAGCCAGGCGCGGTGGCTGAGGAATTCTGGGAGTTGAAGTCCACAAGTCATAAAAGGGCCAAGTTTGACGACCCCTGCTTTATATAGAAGAGAAAACAGAGGCGTAGAAGGAGATGAAATTCTCTCTCACCTGCCGGCCCTCTCCGGGGGGCTCCCGCGGGGCGGAGGAGGGCGGCGGGCCGAGCAGGAAGCCCTCGGCCAGGGCCACCGCCTGGGCGCAGCTCTCCGCCCCGCACTCCCGCAGCCAGCCCGCCAGCTCCGGGGGCAGCAGGGCCAGCAGCTGCTCCAGCACCACCCGGTCCACCACCTCGGCTTTGCCGCTCCGCTCGGGCCGCAGCCACCCACGGCACAGCCGGTGCAGGCGGCTGCAGAGCGCCCGGATCCCCTCGGTCTCCCGGGGGCGACAGCTGCGGAAGCGCCGGCGCTCGGCCTCGGAGCTGCGGGACCCCTCGGGGAGGCCGCCGCCGCCGCCGCCGCCGCCGCTTTCCCCGGACTCTCCGCCCCTGCCGCCGCTCCCCTCCTGAAGGACCGCGGAAGCAGCTGCTGCTGCTCCCGCCCCCGGAGGCCCTCGGGCCTCCATTCGGTCTCCCTTTTCGGCAAAGTCGCCCTCGGTCACGGCTGACCCTCCCCTACTCGCTCCTTGCCCCGCCCCTTTCCCGGTTTCAGGAGGGGCGAAAAGGGGCGGGGCTCCTCTTCCTCAGAGCTTCTGAGGTGGAGAAAAGCAGCTGCAAATCGCTCCCGCCTCAGGCTCCCCGGTCCTCCCTGCGCTCCCAGACGCTGGGTCAGAGAGGGCTGCTTCCTAGAGAGGCAAAACCCTTTAAGCCCCTCGGCTTACTGCTCTTGGCTAGAGCGTCTCCTAAGCCTAAGGCAGCTAGCCGCCTCTCCTGTCCTCTGCTCGACGTCCAGGACGGGCGAAGTTTTTCTGCGCATGCCCCGTTCCCTGATGAGTTTTGTGTCTGGCGGAACCTTTAGTCGGGGAGTCGGGGGGGGGGGGATGCTAGAGGATGGAGAACGGCCCGTGGGGGGGGGGGGAGATGATGGGCATGGTGAGGATTGAGCCGGGTCTAGAATGAGAAAAACGCCTTTGGATGGAACCTGATTTGATTGTTGCTTCTTGATACCTGGGATCTCTCTCTTTTCCCCCAGAACCCTTTTATAAATGTGGATTTGTTCTTGGGAACAGAAGGAACAAGCGGGAGGGGGAACGTCATAGAGATGGTGCTGCAAATGTGAGAAAGGGAAAGTGTCTGAGGACAGTTATCCAGCGCAGTAAACTTATTTATTTTTAAATTGATATTTAAAGAAAAAATGCTTTGGGGGTTCCTCCAGGCCAGCTTGTTTATCCTCTCTTTGGTCTGCATTCGTCTGGCAAAGCAATCCCCTTTTTCTACAGAGTACAACAGGGGTCTTCAACCTTGGCCCTTTTATGACTTGTGGACTTCAACTCCCAGAATTCCTCAGCTGGCTGGCCGACAGGAATTCTGGGAGTTGAAGTCCACAAATCATAGAAGGGCCAAGTTTGAAGACCCCTGCCTTTAAGGAATGTAGTATTTTTTTAAAAAAATTCCTAACCAGTGTTTTTGTGTAGGCTTTGAGCAACTAACCTTGTTCTATATTGTAGTTCATCATTCGTGAAGTTTCATTTTGTATACCCATCTGCACCCAACAGCTTTTTCTCCCTCTGGTACCCTGATTGGAGTGAAAACCTTATATTTTTGCATAAGCAACATTTTCTTATCCATAGCCTCTTTCCATTTCTTTTGCTCTGCCATGGGTAAATTTAATACTTCTTGGTAATTTTGGGGCTCATAAAAATATTACATACTTTTACCTCCTCAGCTGTGAATCTTTTTGGAGGAACACCTTTGTTTGCTCTTTCAGACCTCCTTGGAATAAAATGTTCCTCACAAACGAAAGGATTGTCCCAGGATAATGTTGCAGGATTCAATCTGGGTCAGTCACCTCTGGCCCCGGTGATCAACCCAGACTGGATCCTGAAAAATGTTTCTGTTTTACCAGAATCTCACTCTTTATATTCTATGTGAATGTTCATTTATTGGAGACCTCTGACTAACAGGCATAAACATTTCAGTATTGGCATGTACCTTTCCCCAATTCTCAGGTTCTGAAAAGTTGCAATGCAAAATAATAACATTTTATGTGTCTGTAAACCTATATACCTTTGATCCTGACTGATAACCTATAAATTTTAATTTCCTTCACTTTGATTGTCCTTTCCTATTTGTTTTGGGAATGCACACCCATGCACTGCTGCCAAAGATACTCAAATGTGCCAAAGATGGTTTTATTTAACATGTAATATGGAGTTTCGTTAATCGTTCAACTCCATAGTCTATTGACACAAATAATTGGCAGTTACAATTGCCTCACCCCAATATAGCTTACTTATTCCTCCATTTGCTAGTAATGCATCTTTCAGTTTGTAATACACCATTCCTGCGTTCAGCAATTCCATTCTTTGCTGAAGTGTAGGGCTTCATTCTTCTATGGGTTATGCCTTTCTTTCTCAGCCACTGCCGAAATATATTAGACATGAACTCTGAACCTGTTTGTAGTTGACATACATTTTGATTACACTCCCTCACTACAAATATTCCCTACTCTTAAATTGTTGAAACACTTGTTTTGCTCTTTAGTACATAACAAAAACTGTATCTTCAGAAATCATCAATCACCAAAGCAAATTTGGCCCCGCCCATTGATGGAGATAGAGGGCCGATTAAATCAGCTTATACAAACTGAAATATTCTGTCAGATTTCCTATCACTTCTTTTGCCGAAAGGGTATACTTCAGATTTTGCCTCTTTGCAAATAGCGCAATACAAATAGTTAGCACACTCTTTTACATTCCATCCTACAGCCAGGTCAGACATTTTCTGCAATGCTTTAAAGCTTGCATGACCCAGCCTTCTGTGCAATAAATGTGCACATCCATTATGCTTTGGTTCATTAAAAAAGATTGTCTGCACACTGACACCAGTTTCCTTGTGGTTCAAAACATATAAATTGTTCAGTTTTAAACCTTGTGCACACACCCTGTTATTCTTTATGACAGTCATAAAGGACTTAAATGTCTATACACCAATGCACAACGTATGAACAGCAAACAGGGTGAACTAGAAATTCAGGTTAATGAGGGCAGATATGATATTGTTGCCATTATGGAAACATGGTGGGATGAAACCCACAAATGGAACACACAGCTAGAGGATTTAAATTATTTAAAAGAAACAGATCAAATAAAAGAGGAGGTGGAGTTGCTCTCTATATAAGAAATAATTACATCTCTACAGAAATAGAGCACAACAATGATGAAAACTGTCTTGAATGCATTTGGGTCAATATAAAAGGGAAAAATGACATTGCCATAGGTGTATACTATAGGCTACCCAACCAAACAGAGAAAATAGATGAACTTTTTGCTAGTCAGCTAACTAAAGTATGTAGGAAGCACATCACAATAGTAATGGGGGACTTTAACTACCCTGACATCAGCTGGGAGACAAACTCTAAACCAAGTGGAAGATCAAACAGATTCCTGACAAACCTAGCAGACAACTTCGTCTCCCAAAAAGTAGAGAAGGGAACTAGGGGATTAGCCATATTGGATCTAATTCTCACAGAAATGAAATAATAGAAGGTGTTGAAGCCATAGGAACCTTGGGAGGAAGTGATCATGCAATATTGGAATTCAACATTATGGAAGCACAAGCAATAGAACACAGTCAAACTAGAGTCTTGGACTTCAAGAGAGCTAATTTCAATAAACTTAGAGAGGGCTTGGGAAGGATGCCATGGATGAGAATCCTCAAGGGGAAAACAACTCAAGAAGCTTGGGAAATTTTGAAAAGTGAGATAATAAAAGGCCAGTCTAGCACAATACCAACAAAGAAGAAAAATAACAGCTCTCAAAAAAACCCAGCATGGCTGCATAAAGAACTCTATGATAAACTGAAAGCTAAAAAGGACAAGTATAAAAAGTAGAAAGAGGAGCACATAACTAATGCAGAATATCAGCAAATAGCTCGAGCCTGCAAAGATGAAGTGAGGAAAGCTAAGGCTCAAAATGAACTAAGGCTTGCGACCAAAGTCAAAAATAACAAAAAGATGTAAAAACAAGTACAACTTTTTACATACTTCAACATGTAAAAAACAAGAAAAAAGTGAAGGAAATGATTGATCCATTAGTGGGGGAAAGTGGCAAGAAGGTGACAAGCAACAGGGAGAAAGCAGAACTATTAAACTCGTTTTTTGCATATCTTTACACAAAGGGAAAAAACAGACCAACCTATCAAAAATAGTGCCATAAAAAAACAGAATAGAAACACAAGTTAAGATAGGCAAGAAAATGGTAAGTGAGCACCTGTCCAGCCTAGACGAGTTCAAATCACCAGGACCAGATGGATTACACCCCAAGGTTCTCAAGGAACTGGCAGATATGACCTCAGAACCACTGAACTATATTTTTCCAGAATCCTGGAGCACTGGGGAACTACCAGAGGACTGGAAAAGAGCTGATGTACTTCCCATCTTCAAAAAAGGGGGAAAAAATGGACCTTGCATATACCCTTTGCAAAAATTTACTTCATACCCTTCATTGTCTAAGTGAGACATACTCAGCAAATTGTGATCTAAATCTTATTGAACAACTTACGTAAAATCTTATTGAACAACTTACCACTACGTAGTACATATACTGTTCCTTGCCCCTATACAAAAGAATGATTACCATTTGCCAGCCTTCCCTATTCTTGGGCAGCTGGTGCTAGACTAAAAAAAAGTTTTGGGTTATTTACAATATGTTCTTTTGCCCCACTGTCCAACAACTAAATGTCTTTAGTGTCTTTATTTGCCTTCACCACAGAAATCTGCGTGTCTTCCTTCTTCCCTCTTTGTGCTGTCTCGCTCCTGCTTGTATCTTTTAATCTTCTTACTGGGCAATTTCTCTGGATATCTTGAGTGGATCCATATGCAAAGCAGCATTTTATTACACAGACTTTTATCTCCCACCTTGTTATCTTTCTGGAATGTGGCTCCTTTCTGACTGAGTTTAAATTACTGTCATTTCTCTTGCATGCAACCGTTCTAATTTTTTCTTCTTCCAAAAGCCTCCAAGTTACATAACTCATAGTTAAATCACGCTTGTTCATGGACTCAAAACTTGTTACTAACACATCTCAAGTATCATCAAGGGAACTAAGCACAATATACATTTTGTCTGCTTCTCAAAACATCATTCTTTGCTCTTCTAATTGCATATTTTCCTCATGAACGGGAGGTGATCCAGCAGACTTTCTCCAGACTGTATTTATTTATTTATTTATTTATTTTTTATATTTATATCCCGCCCTTCTCCTTGCGGACTCAGGGCGGCTGTAACCTTGCTCTATAAAGTTTTCAGGTGAGAGTTACTTTGCTGCTTGCCATCTCTTACATAAATTCTGTGTAAGGCAAGCCAGCATTCTCTAGCACAGAGGCCCCCAACCTTTTGGGCACCAGGGACCAGTTCGGTGGAGAGAGGTTTTCCACGGACTGGAGGGTGCGTGGTTTTGTGTGCTGCCTGCATCCCATGGATGGAGCTTTGCTTGTTTGTATGGCCCGATTGCTGGCATGTTGCGGCCCAGTACTGGTCCATAGACTGGAGGTTGGGGACCCCTGCTCTAGCAGATGTAAGCCCATGCACGTGTATTGCCTGACTATCCTCCAAGCACAAAATTATCCTGGGTAATGCTTTTTCATTTTGCCTTTGCTATTCCTCATTGAGATCTGCTGGACGATTGCTTACAACTGTCTATAAATCCTCCCTCCGCAGAAACAACTCCATCTTTAGGCCCTATGAGTGATAATTTGTCTCATTAAGAAAGACCAGCTAAATGAAATCCTCATCCCATTTTTGTAACAAAGAGCATTGTGCTGTCTTTAAGACGCAATCACCCTCAGCCTCCCTTACGTTCACAAATAAACTTTTACTTCAGAGAAACTAACTACTGGTGCTTAACCTGTCAGGGAAGTATACGGTAGGTATCCAAATGAAGTCATAGATGCTGAGATCTACTTGTAATTTTATATAAATAAATGTATTTTATATCAATATATCATCAGGAGTACCATCGGGTATATCGCAGAGCACAGAGGGCACACAGAAGAAAAAGGCGGGGAGAAAGGGGAAACTCCCCCTCGACACCCACAGCAACCAATCAGGGTGCAGACTGCCTCATGCAGTAGCCAGTACTCTTTCAACTAATCAACCACAACTGTTGTGTTCTGGCTCACTGCACAACCCCACTGCTCCAGCTACTAAATTTAAATATCTTAACAGATAGTTAAAAAAAGGACACACGGAAGGAGACTGCAGGCAAATTGCAATTATTAAAAGTTTATTAATAAGATTCCAAGACTACAAAGGAAGGAGTTTCTTCCCGAAAATAGGTTGGGAAACTCAAGTGGTGAGGAATAATTGCCTTGGAACTACTCAACTACTCTTCCTCCTGGTCAGAATATAACAAAGGGAGATGGCAAGATTTCTTTAGCTAAATCTTAAAGAGGAATGAAAAGACAACGAGCACCATTTTGTGCGAATTAACACAACTCTGAGGATTGAAATGCTTTCTGAATTTGATATATGTGTGCCACTTCCTTATCATATAGTCTTTAAGTAAATTAAGAGGGAAATCAAGGAAGCCATCAGTCCTCCGACTAGAAAAGATAGTGGGATGGTAATGGGCAACCGGGAGAAAACTGAAGGGCTTAATCCCTATTTTGTATCCCTCTTTCCGTATCCTGGGGAGGGAAAAGAAAAATGCAGATCAAACTAGGAAAGGGAACACCTGACTGTTCTGAATGAATTCAAGTATTTGGGACCAGAAAGGTTCTTCTGAAGTGCCTTCCATGGATTTATATGGTTTCTTCGGTGTGCATTCTTTTATGAATGAGAATTATGGTGTCTTTCTGGAGTAAAGCTCTTTCCACACTCCCTGCATTTACATTTATTCCCTGTAAGGATCCTGGTGAGTCAGAAAAAGAGTTTCTACTGGAGGCATTTATCCATTTAGAAGGCTTCTTTTCCCTGCATGGATCCTTTCACGATGATTAAGATGTTCTTTCCCAATAAAATTATTTCCACACTCCATGCATTATATGGATTTTCTCATGTGTGGATTCTTTCATGAGTCTTGTTAGAACTTTTTGCACACTACACGCATTTATGTAATTTCTCCTTCATGTGGATCTTTTTATGAAAATTAAGTGGTCCTCTTTGAGCGAAGCTTTTTCCACACTCTGTGCATTTATATGGTCTCTCCCCTGTATGGATTCTTTCATGATTAATAAGAGCACTTGTCTGATTAAATTGCTTTCCGCATTCCATGCACTTGTATGGCCTCTCCCCAGTGTGAATCCTTTCATGACGAGTAAGATCTCTGTTCCAGTTAAAGCTTTTTCCACACTCCAAGCATTTATATGGTCTCTCCACTGAGTGGATCCTTTTGTGAGAATAAAGATGACCTGTCCTAGCAAACATCTTTCCACAGTCTGTGCATTTATATGGTTTATCTCCTGTGTGAATTCTTTCGTGACCAGTAAGACATCCTTTCCTGACAAAACTCTTTCCACACTCCAAGCATTTATATGGTCTCTCCCCTGTGTGGATCCTTTTATGAGTGCTAAGATGTCCTTTCCAAGCAAAGCTCTTTCCACACTCCATGCATTTATATGGTCTCTCCCCAGTGTGGATCCTCTTATGATGAATCAATTCTGAGTTCCGACAAAAGCTTTTTCCACACTCCATGCATGTATATGGTCTTTCCCCTGTGTGAATTCTTTGGTGCACAGTGAGGCGCCCCTTGTCAATAAAGCTCTTTCCACACTCTATGCATTTATATGGTTTGTCTGCTGTATGAATCATTTGATGTCGACCAAGGTCTCTGCTGTCAAAAAAGCTCTTTCCACATTCCAGGCATTTATATGGTCTCTCCCCTGTATGGATCTTTTTATGAGCATTAAGATGTGCTGTTTGAGTAAAGCTTTTTCCACACTCTGTGCATTTATATGGTCTCTCCCCAGTGTGGATTCTTTCATGATGAATTAGACCTCTGCTCCAGTTAAAGCTTTTTCCACACTCCAAGCATTTAAATAGTTTCCCCCCAAAGTGGGTCCTTTTATGAGCATTAAGTTGTGCTGTTTGAGCAAAGGTTTTTCCACACTCTGTGCATTTATATGGTCTCTCCCCTGTATGGATTCTTTCATGATGAATGAGATGAGCTTTCTGAGTAAACTGCTTTGCACAGTCGGTGCAGTTGTATGGTCTCTCCCCGGTGTGGATCCTTTCATGAACAGTAAGATGTCTTTTCTGAGTAAAGTCTTTTCCACACACTATGCATCTATATGGTCGCTCCCCAGTATGGATCCGCTTATGACGAATAAGTTCTGAGTTCCAACAAAAGCTTTTTCCACACTCCATGCATTTATATGGTTTTCCCCCCATGTGTATCCTTTGATGGAAAATAAGGCTCCAATTGTCAATAAACCTGTTTCCATACTCCATGCATTTATATGGTCTCTCACCTGTGTGGATCCTCGGATGACAATGAAGATTACTTTTGCTACTGAAGCTCTTTCCGGACTGCATGCATAGTTTCATCTTTTTGCTTAGGCTGAAATCTGTCTCATATTTTACAAAGGTATGTGGTTTGTGTTTCCTATACAGTATTTTAGGTAAAGTAAAAGAGAAGGAATGACTCTTTGCAGACATTTCTCTTTCCATTGTCAATAGCCTTGGCTGCTTTTCTTTTTCATTCACCAGCCCATCACCATCACCTGCTTGTAAAAAAAAGGAAAAATAGAAATTATCATTAGAATTTACAATGATGGCGAGGGGGGGGTCCTCCCCAAATCAAAAATATGTCCATCTTATCATCAAGTTTGGCACCAGCTATGTGTCAAGCTAAGAGATGGTGGACGCAAATTGTTATCTAAGAGACTCTAATAGTATCCAAGGAATTTTCCAGCCCTGAACCAGATTAAGATTTTGCTACTGATAGGTCAGTCTCACAAGGGATTTCCATGGAACATCCAAGGCCTTTCCCAAAGCCACGGTGAACATTTTTGCCAAGGCCTTATGTTCTAGAAGAGTGGCTATGGTGACAACCTTGGACAAAATTGCCCATGAAGTGCCTCTGCTGGCTTGTGTTCTAGGGGGGCCTTGGCAGTTGAAGGGAATCAAAGGTAAGTGTACAGGGCTCTTTGCGGCCATGGCTCTTCCACTGGATATTAGCTATACAGTCAACATTCTGATCCTGATTTTCCTGAGATTAGGAAAGGTTAAAAAGATGGTGGCCAGATGGTGGTCAGTAGAGTTCGGACCACCTTAAGCAACTGAGTGCAGATATCTTCCCTGTTTACCTCCCACTTAAAACACTTTCCCCAATGAATGAAACCCAGAGCAAAGAGGGTCCTTACCCAAAGAAACCATATTTCTAAAAAGCTCCAGCATGACTTCCCTGCACAAGGCTTTCTGGCCAGAATCCAGCAATGCCCACTCCTCTTCTGTAAAGTCCACAGCCACCTCCTCAAAGGGAACAGAGTCCTAGAAAGAGAAAGAAAATCTTCTCCCGCAGACAGTCCTCTCTTATTTTTTTTTCTTACTTCCAAAAGAGAAAACAGAGCTTTGCAAGAGACCAAATGGGCATTTTCTAATAGGACAGGCATAGGTTCTACAGATCCACATAGTCCTCAGGGCTGTGAATGTCTTAGAAAACAGGACAAACCTACTAGGAAGTTCTTACCTTGCCTATTTCAAAATATTGAAAATGAGCCTGGAAATCTCAGATCATTTGAGGAATACCCTTATTTTTACAAGCAATTAGTGCCGACATAGCGGTTTTTATACATGTGTGATTCATTTTTAAGTGGATATTTTGGCCTATTTCTGAAACAATTTTTTTTTTTACAATTTCTCTCGTCTTGCTTAATGGCCTCAATTTTTTAAACTGGTTGTCCAAAGTTTTTTTTAAAATATTCCAACGTATCAATTACATTTCCTAATACAAGACTCTTCTGAATTGTCTTTCTTGTGCATCCCCAGAACAATTCTGAAGGTTGAATCAGTGAGACTCACTGGGTCATTTTCTCACAAAAAACCTACGCTTACCTGGCAAGTTGGCCCTATTTGGATCTTCGAGAAAACATCCTCTTTAGAAGGACTGGATCGATCCCCTCTTCCCTGAAGCTCTGATGAAATGTCATCCATGAACAGCTCCTGCAACTAAAAGAACAGCCTGGTTTATCATTCACTTACAAATGAAGATAAAGGTGTTACTTGTCCTTTCCCAACCCATCAAAGTGAGAGACCTTGGGAGCTCCTGTTCTGTGGATGGCTACTATTTCTTGATTAATGCTAGCCACTTTTGTGAAATACTTCATTACTTTTTTTTTATTTTGTTTTTTTATTCCGATCAGGAATTAAGTGTTCATTTCCTTCTCTTCACTTGACAGGTATGGCCTTTTCCTGTTTGTAGATGTAGTTATGCCTGTTCTATCTCTTACTTCAGGAGTACTTTGCTTTATATTTGGGGACGTTTGTTGAGGGATAGGACCATTCTTCCCTTCCTTTTGTGGAGGCTTCTCTGTGCCTCTTGCAGTGTGGGACAACACCAGCCTGGCAGTTCAGGGAGAGACTTTGGGATAAAAACAGAGATGCCTTCAGGGATAAAATGCACCCCTTGAAAACACTGTGATTGTCATTAAAAGGCAATTTCAATACTTCATTATTTCTCGCCTTAAATTCCCAATCACAGTTAATTTTTAGTTATAAATCTTTTAAAATAATTTTGACTATCCAGAAAAGAAGAGTCCATCCAGAGAATTTCTATTGGAAAGTCTGGGAAGCAAATCACGTCCACCCTTCACACATTCTGCCTTCTGCAATTCAAAGGCACAAATCAGAATAGGATCAAAGTGCCGAGGGAAACAACAAATGTGTGAAAACATTCCTCCTGATCTTACCACAACCCGAGATCTCTTTTATCCCGAGATCTGTTTGATGAAATAAGTAAATAGACCTTTCCCCCCTCAAGATTACCACTTTCGGTGAAAAAAAAATGCTAAACCACCTCTCAGCAGGGTGCCTTGAACTGCAGTCATTTCTGTCCTGAGGGCTAACCAGATGTGTGCCCTAATCTCTTAATGTTTGCGATTTGTAAGAAATCACAAACATTAAGAGATTAGGGCACACATCTGGTTAGGGCACACATCTGGCACGCATACATCAACATCCCATGGGATTTTTTTTACCAGTGTGGAAACAGAAGCATTTGCCTCAAGATGAAATGAGTTCCCAAATATTAGGAGCTGCTGAAAACCTTGCACTGATTTCTTCTTCATATCTGTGATTTCTTACTGAGAGGCTGCTAAATCTATCAGCGTCCCCCCCCCCCCTTATGCATCCTTCGGGATGAAGTCGTCTCACCTGCCGGCCCTCTCCGGGGAGCTCCCGGGGGGCGGAGGAGGGCGGCGGGCCGAGCAGGAAGCCCTCGGCTAGGGCCACCGCTTGGGCGCAGCTCTCCGCCCCGCACTCCCGTAGCCAGCCCGCCAGCTCCGGGGGCAGCAGGGCCAGCAGTTGCTCCAGCACCACCCGGTCCAGCATCTCGGCTTTGCCGCCCCGCTCGGGCCGCAGCCACTCGCGGCACAGCCGGTGCAGGCGGCTGCAGAGCGCCCGGGGCCCCTCGTCCTCCCGGGGGCGGCAGCTGCGGAAGCACCGGCGCTCGGCCTCGGAGCTGCGGGGTCCCTCGGGGAGGCCGCTCGGGCCGCCGCTCCCCGCTTGAAGAGCCGCTGCTGCTCCCGCCCACGGAGACCCTCGGGCCTCCATTCGGCCTCCCGCTTCGGCGAAGCCCGAACGGGGAAAGCTCCCTCTGAGGCGACCCTCGTCACGGCGGACCCTCCCCCGCCCGCTCCTCCCCCTCGCCCCGCCCCTCTCCCGGTTTCTGGGGGGGGGGACGAGAAGGGGCGGGTCTCCGCTGCCTCAGAGCTTCTGAGGCGGAGAAGAGCAGCTGCAAGTCGCTCCCGCCTCAGGTTCCCGCGCCCTCCTATCCCCACAGAATCTCGGTCAGAAAGGGCTGCTTCCTAGAGAGGCAAAACCCGATAAGCCCCTTGGTTTACTGCTCTTGGCTAGAGCGGCGTCTTCTAAGGCAACTATCGCTTGTCTTGTCCTCTGCTCAGTTCTGAGGGCCGGCAACGGTCTTCTGCGCATGCTCTGTTCTTTGCAATCGCTCAAAAATCTGTAGAAGTCGGCTAGGCTGGGTGCCGGGGATGATGGGCATGGAGGAGATAGAGTAGTGGCCAATATTGTGGAAACCTTTTGGGAAAAGTGTATTTTTGAGGTTTGATGGCTAATAACGCCACTTTTTTGGAATAGTACCATAAAATTATATATCAATGGAGAGATGATTTAATGAAGAATGTAATGCAACGTAGTGTTAAATAAGTAAGCAATAACCGTTTTGGGGATTCCTTCAAACCAGTTGGCCCTCTCTGTTGTCTGTATTAACACTGTGGTAACGCTCAATGTAGGAACCCCTCCTTTTTCTGCAGCGTGCACATCTGCCCGTTGTTTTTAGTCTCTATTTCTGCTGGGTTGAAATCTTGACTTTTTTCTGCTTGATCTTTCCCGGCTTCTTGATTCTTGGAAGAGTTGATCTGGTTTCAAGGGGTTGCACTACTTAAAAAGGTTGTCCGCCTAAAGTGGGTTTGTCTCCGTTTCAGAGTTTCTTCTCCAAAATGTGTTGGGAAACTCAAAGTGGTCAGGAATAATTGCTCTGGCAACTGCCCCAAAAGAGGTTGCCTTCTTGAGGCAGACCTTACTGGATTAAATATGCATGCGATTGGGGCATTGATTAATGACATCACACATACAGGTAGTCCTCGACTTAACGACCACAATTGAGCCCAAAACGTATGTTCCTAAGTGAGGAATTTGTGGTTTTGCCCCCAGTTTATGACTTTTCTTGCCATGTTTGTTTAAGTCAGGCAGGTCAAATGCGCGACGTATCGCGACTTTCCCATTGCCGGCAATGAGGTGGCCACGGTTTTGATTTGATGCATCTGGCCACGGGCCGGCAATTTGACATGCCTGGTTTAAGTGAATCATTGCAGTGGCTAAGTTAACAACAGGATTGTTAAGTGAATTTGGCTTCTCCATTAACTTTGCTTGTCAGAAGGTCGCAAAAGGAAATCACATAGCCCCTGGACCGGGGTAGGCAACCTTGGCTCTTTTATGACTTGTGACTTCAACTCCCAGAATTCCTCAGCTTGGAAACCTCTCCCTTTTCCCTTAGCATGGCTGGCTCAGGAATTCTGGGAGTTGAAGTCCACGAGTCATAAAAGAGCCAAGGTTGCCTACCCCTTCCTTCCCTGGACACTGCAATCGTCACATAGACGAACCAGTTGCTAAGCATCCGAATGTAAATCACATGCCCATGGGGATGCTGCAACGGTCCTAAGTGTGAAAAATGATCTTAAGTCACTTTTTTCAGTGCCGTTGTAACTTTGAATGGTCACTAAACTGTTGTAAGTCAAGGACTACCTGTAATTGCCCAGAGTTACTCGGAGTTGGACAGCATATAAATTTAATCAGCATTACTTGTTTGGAATCAATGACGTAGTGCACGGGTGTCAAACTCGATTGTGTCACATGATGTATTGTGATGTATCGTGACATTCTTTGCTTTTGCAGAGCCAGGGTGGGTGTGGCCTGTGTGTGATGCATCTGGCCCATGGGCCGCCAGTGTGACACCCCTGACATCGTGTGTTATTCAAAAGAATAGCACATTGAGGAGAAAAAAGAGGCAGTATTTTGGAAATACAGTTCTTTCTAAGGAATTGCTTTTCATTTTACAATGATAATGTGTTCCTCTTAATATATTCTAGGGGTTTGTTTTTTCCCCAACCTTCTTGGCTTTCTAAATAAAGTCTAGTTAGAACAACTGGCCACGGGATGATCCAATGCTGTATTAATCATTTTGTTCAGTTACTTTTATTATTGGTGAGACATGTTTTCGTCAAAATTATTGTAATAATTTTTGTATTTTGGATTGTTCTGCGGCAAGTTGTTCCATGGTGAGTTGGCCATGATTGCTTCCATTCTAAGTGTTTATGGCTGAACTGACAAGCTTTATTGCTCAAGATATAACGGAGATAATGTTTTCCTTTTCCAAACCAAGGAATTGTTTTCTTTTGTTCTGCCTCATCCTGGCAGAATCCATGTTCCTGGGTGGGGTGAGTGAAGCACTCCAGGAGCATTTGCCAAACCTCACAGACTCCCTGGAGGTATGAAGTTAAAGCAAGCAGGAAGCATCTGTGTCAGGCAACCATGAAAAAAAGAAAATCTTTTCAGGATCAGCAGAAAACAATAAAGGAACCCACAGGCAAAACTATGCTTCAGATTAGCATTTAGTAGAAGAGGGACGAAGGCTTTGAAAAAAAATATTCAAATGCTAAGATCAAAAGAGAGTAGGCAATTATTTTCTTTGTGAAACTTTATGGAAGCAAAAATTGAAGAAGCACGGTAGAAAGAATATTGGAGCTATCCAACAAAAGGAACAGAAGAAATAGGGAAGACATGATAGCAGTGTTCCAGTATCTGAGGGGCTGCCACAAGGCAGAGGGGGCCAGGTTGTTCACCAAAGCACCAGATGGAAGGACGAGAAACAACGGTTGGAAACTGACCAAAGAAAGAAGCAATCTGGAACTAAGGAGAAATTTCCTGATAGTGAGGACAATCAACCAGTGGAACAGCTTGCCACCAGAAATCGTGGGCTCTCCATCACTGGAGATTTTTAAGACGAGACTAGACATCCACCTGTCTGAGACGATATACGTTCTCCTGCTCAAGCAGGGGGCTCGACTAGAAGACCTCCAAGGTCCCTTCCAACTCTATTCTATTCAGTAGTGAGAAAGATCCTGCACGTCAGCAGGAAAAACCAGATGCACAGGGTTACCTGCTTCAGCACTAGTGCCTGTGATAAGATCTTGGTGTCCTGGTGGACCATCACTTAACTACAATAAAAGCCAGCAATGTGCCATAGCTGCCAAAAAAATAGTTCTTGTTTGGATCAATAGAGGGATAGCACCAACATCACAGGAAATAATAATAATAATAATAATAATAATAATAATAATAATAATAATAATAATAATAGTAAAGTTGGAAGGGACCTTGAAGGTCATCTAGTCCAACCCCCTGCTCAGGCAGGAAACCCTATACCACTTCGGACAAATGGCTGTCCAGTCTCTTCTTAAAAGCTTCCAGTGTTGGAGCATTCACCGCTTCTGGAGGGAGGTTGTTCCACTGGTTAATTGTTCTCAGTCAGGAAGTTTCTCCTTAGTTCTAGGTTGCTTCTCTCCTTGATTAGTTTCCACCCGTTGCTTCTTGTTTTGCCTTCAGGCGCTTTGGAAAATAGCTTGACTCCCTCTTCTTTATGGCAGCCCCTGAGATATTGGAACACTGCTATCATGTCCCCCCTCGTCCTTCTCTTCGTTAAACTAGACATACCCAATTCCAGCAGCCGTTCCGTATATGCTTTAGCCTCCAGTCCCCTAATCATCTTTGTTGCTCTTCTCTGTACTCTTTCTAGAGTCTCAACATCTTTTTTACATCGCGGTGACCAAAACTGGATGCAGTATTCCAAGTGTGGCCTTACCAAGGCATTGTAAAGTGGTATTAACACTTCACGTAATCTTGATTCTATCCCTCTGTTAATGCAGCCTAGCACTGTGTTGGCCTTTTTGGCAGCTGCAGCACACGGCTGGCTCATATTTAGGTGATTGTCCACTAGGACTCCGAGGTCCCTCTCACAGTTACTACTATTGAGCAAGGTACCCCCTATGCTGTACTTGTGCATGTGGTTTTTCTTGCCTAAATGTAGAACCTTGCTTTTAGTCATGGTACTACTCTATATGGCAGTACTGAGGCCACGTGATCAAGGTATTATTCAATGTAACAAAAAAGCTTAGATGAAGTGTTACAGATACTGCAGCCATGGTGCTGGACAACAGCCACACCTTGGGCATAAGGTTGTACTACAATATCTCAAAGGTCCCTTTTAGTCATATGATTCTACGATGCTTTTCAACTTTGGAGAAGGCTCTTGAAAGCACCAGGATTACTCAAACCACCCCAACAATTAGAGCAAAAATGGAGACTATTGGGGCACAAATGTACAGATAACTTTAAACGAAGACCCAACTCCACTGAGGAATCCACAGAATTACCAAGATGAAAGGAAGGAGAGGAACAGAACAAGACAGATGCATTCCATCAGAGCAGCAATGAGTATAGCAGCAGGACTTCTGAAGCTCAAGGTGTATCCTCACTCTGAGCAGAACTTGCCCTGCTTATTTGGACAAAATTAGCCAGATTAGAAATGAACTAAACTCACTTTTAGTGTAACCTGACATGCTCTAGGAACCCAGTTAAAGGATCTGTCCATCCAGAAGGTCATACATTTTTGACTATTCCTCATTTGAGTTCAGGAAGAATTTACCTGATCTTTCTACATCAGACGTGTAACTGTACATTTATTTATCAAAATGATATGCTACTCATCTTGTAGTTTAAGGCCACTCTTTTTACCTCCCAATCTCAGGCTTGTTTTGTAATGTGTTAAAGAGCTCCAAATATTTACTTTGTAAAGATCCCAGCCCGTTATTAACCACATTTTGGTGCAACCAATGGGCATACACAGCTGAGGAGCATGGGTGTAGTTCAGGAAATTGTGGAACTCCTCAAAAATAAATTGAGTAATCTGGGAAGGCAGCACCATGGAAAGGGAGGAAATAAAGAGATGGAGGAGAAAAGGATGAACATTCTTCCAGTCTAAATTCCTAACCCTTTTCTCCAACTGTTGGGTAGCCAAGCCTGACACTTTTGAGGGATATGAGCAGAAAATGTAATTATGCATTAGTTAAGTTTCACTGAATTACCCAATCTCTCATGTTTCTATAACTCACTTGTGTAGTTAATCCCACGAATAGAAATGCCACTGCTCCATCTTCAGCTGTTTCTTTATTTGGGCACGTATAGTTTTTCTCCTGGGTGGATGCTTGAGGAAGCAAAGCTACCATTGCTATCTGTGCTTGGGCAAAACACAGTTGCAGCCAGGCAGAAATGCTTCCCATCCCTCTTCCCCAGGGCTCAGCACACCTCAAAGAAGTTTGAGATAGGCTCATGCAATCATTCATTCGCTCACTCAACTCATTTACTCAGTTTACTTAAAGGATCCATGCTGCCATGCCAGTTCCTGGCTAATTGAGCCACAATTGTCATTTTCAAGAATGTGTGGAAATTCAGAAGCAACCTCACCCCAACAAGGCCCTTAGTGTACAAAAAACAAAGGCTAAGAAAGAGCAAAGAGCATGTGTGGATGTGTAAGAGAAAAGGAGATAAGAAAAAGGCAAGAAGATGGGGAAGCAGGCCATATTTGGTGAATAACAACCAATATAACCAGGCAATCCCTCAGCTCCACAAACTACGGCTAGCAGCATCTCCTGGTGGGGCTCCTGCCTGGAGCTTGACTTGGGAGCTCAGCTGGAATCCTCAAAAGCAACACTGCTGAAGAGCAGAGCTTGGAGTTGGCCAAGAGAAAAGCAGCAACTGCACTTTAGTGTGAGGATATTTGGAAGGACGGAAAGGTTGCATACCACTTTACAGACTAAGAGAATTTTGTTTCAGACCGGGACGCTATTAAATTTACTTACATGGCAACATCATCACTTTGCAAAGCCCAGGATAGTTAAGAGCAATAGCCTGTTGTTGGGGAAGGCATATCACACAATAAAGCACGGTGTACACATTTGTTAATGCTGTGCTCACTGCTTGGAAAATAAAAAACCCTCACAGGATCATGAATAAGATTACAGATCAACCAAAATATCTCTGCATATACTATGCAATAAGCTTCCTTCCCATCTGCATTAGATGCTGAGTGATTTGACTGTCTGAATGAAGCTCATTGCATAGATTTATACGATTTCTTCTGTGGGCACATTTTTATGAGATTTATGTTGTCCTTTCCAAGAAAAGCCCTTTCCACACTCGGTGCATGTATATGGATTTTCCCCAGTGTGGATTCTTTCATGAGATAATGCCTTGTGATTGTTAAAGCTTTTCCCCATACTACAAGCCTTTATATAATCTCTCTCCTGTGTGTATCCTGTGATCGGAAATATCACTACTCTCAACTTAATCTCTTTCCACACTTAACAGTTATATGGTTTTTCAATTGTGTGGATCTTCTGATGGCAAATAAGATTACAGTTTGAACTGAAGCCCTTTCCACATTCTATATGTTTATTTGGTCTTTTCCCAGTATGGATCCTCTTATGACAAATAAGTTATCATTTCTGACAAAAGCTTTTTCCACACTCTGCATTTATATGGTCCCTCTCCTGTGTGGATCTTTTTTTGACAATTAAGTTTCCTTTTTGAATGAAGCTTTTTCCATACTCCAAGTGTGGAAGTTTTGATGTCGAATAAAATCTGTTGTCAATAAGGCTGTTTCCACATTCCAGGCATTTATATGGTTTCTCCCTTGGGTGGATCCTTTGATGGGAAATAATACCACTACTCTCAGTGAAATCTTTCCATACTCCTGGCAACTATATGGTTTTTAACGTGTGAATCCGCTGATGGCGAGTCAGATTAGAGTATCTTCTGAAGGCTTTTCCACATTCTGTGCATTTATACGGTGTCTCCCCTGTATGGATTGTTTGATGAAATTTAAGTTGTCCTTTCTGAGCAAAGCTCTTTCCACATTCTGTACATTGAAATGGTTTCTCTCCTGTATGGATTGTCTGATGAATTTTAAGTTGGCTTTTCTGAGCAAAACTCTTCCCACATTCTGAACATTGAAATGGTTTCTCTCCTGTATGGATTGTCTGATGAATTTTAAGTTGGCTTTTCTGAGCAAAGCTCTTTCCACATTCTGTGCATTGAAATGGTTTTTCCCCTGTATGGATTGTCTGATGAATCTTAAGTTTTCCTTTCTGAGCAAAACTCTTTCCACATTCTGTACACTGAAATGGTTTCTCCCCTGTATGGATTGTCTGATGAAATTTAAGATGTCTTTTCTGAGCAAAGCTCTTTTCACATTCTGTGCATTTATACGGTCTCTCCCCTGTATGGATTGTCTGATGAAATTTAAGATGTCTTTTCTGAGCAAAGCTCTTTCCACATTCTGTACATTGAAATGGTTTTTGCCCTGTATGGATTGTCTGATGAATTTTAACTTGACTTTTCTGAGCAAAGCTCTTTCCACATTCTGTACATTGAAATGGTTTCTCTCCTGTATGTATTCTTTCATGATTAATAAGACTATTTTTCCGAATAAATGCTTTCCCACATTGTATACATTTATATGGTTTCTCCCCAGTGTGGATCTTCTTATGAAAATTAAGTCGCCCTTTCTGAGCAAAACACTTTCCACATTCTGTGCATTTATGTGGTTTCTCCCCTGTATGGATTTTTTCATGCTTAGTAAGATGTTTTTTCTGAGCAAACTGTTTTCCACATTCCGTACATTTATACGGTCTCTCCCCAGTGTGGATCCTCTTATGATCAATAAGTTCTGGGTACCAACGAAATTTGTTTCCACACTCCATGCATTTATGTGGTTTTCCCCCCGTGTGCATCCTTAGGTGGCGAGTAAGGTCTTTGTAGAAGAAAAAGGTCTTTCCACACTCCATGCATTTATATGGTCTGTCCCCAGTGTGGATCACATTATGACGAATAAGACCAGAGTTCCAAGAAAAGCTTTTTTCACAGACCAGGCATTTATATGGTTTTTCTCCTATGTGAATCCTTTTATGAGTATTAAGGTCTTCTTTCCAAGTAAAGCTCTTTCCACACTGCAAGCATTTATGCAGTTTATCCCTTGTGTGGCCCCTTTGATGTTGAGTAAGGTGACTGTTGTCAAAAAAAGTCTTTCCACATTCCAGGCATTTATATGGACTCTCCCCTGTGTGGATCATTTGATGGGAAATAATATCACTACTCTCCGTGAATGTCTTTCCACACTCCTTGCAACTATATGGCTTTTCATCTGTGTGGATCCACTGATGGCGACACAAATTATCGTTTGTACTGAAGGCTTTTCCACATTCTGTGCATTTATAAGGTCTCTCCCCTGTGTGGATCCATTCATGAAAAGTAAGTTGCCCTTTCCAAGTAAAAATCTTTCCACAATCCTTGCAACTATATGATTTTTTAGTTGTGTGGCTCCGCTGATGGCGACTCAGATTATAGTTTGTACTGAAGGTTTTTCCACATTCTGTGCATTTATAAGGTCTCTCCCCGGTGTGGATCCATTCATGAAAAGCAAGTTGCCCTTTCCGAGTAAAAATCTTTCCACAGTCCTTGCAACTATATGATTTTTTAGTTGTGTGGCTCCGCTGATGGCGACTCAGATGACAGTTTGTACTGAAGGCTTTTCCACATTCTGTGCATTTATATGGCCTCTCACCTGTGTGTATCCTCTGATGGCGATGAAGACTACAGTTCGTACTGAAGCTCTTTCCACACTTCATGCATATTTTCATCTCTTTGTTTAGACTGAAATCCCTCTCATATTTTACATACTTTTGTGGTTTGTGCTTCCTATGCAGCATTTTAGGCAAAGTAAAAGAGAAGCAATGGCTCTTTGAAGACACTGCCATTTGCAGTTTAAATAATCTAAGATGGTTATCATTCTCATTCTCTAGCCCATCACCATCACCTGTTTGGAACAAAAAAAACCAGAAATTCTCATTAGAATTTACAATGATGGCAAATGGGGGTTTCCCCTAGTCAAAAATATGCCCATCTGAATATCAGGTTTGGCACCAGCCATGTGTCAAGCTAAGAAATACTGGGTTGAAATTGTTATCTAGGAGACTCTAATGCAGTGGTCTTCAAACTTGGCCCTTTTATGACTTGTGGACTTCAACTCCCAGAATTCCTCAGCCAACGTGCCTGGCTGAGGAATTCTGGGAGTTGACGCCCACAAGTCATAAAAGGGCCAGGTTTGAAGACCCCTGCTTTAATGGTATCTAAGGGATTTTTCATTCTGAACCAGGTTAAGGCTTTGCTGTTGATAGGTCAATCTGCTCAGGCATTTCCATGGAGCATCTAAAGCCTTTCACAAAGCTATGATGAGCATTTCTTCCAAGGCCTTTGTTGTGTCCCATAAGAGTGGCTCAGACGACAACCTTCGATAAAATTCCCCATGAAGTGCCTCGGCTGGTTTATCATCCGAAGGGCCGTGACGGTTAAAGGGAATGAAGGGGACGTGTACAGGGCTCTTTGCAGCCATAGCTCTCCACTGGATATTAGCTACATACTGGTACTAGACATCGTGATCCTAATTTTCCTGAGATTAGGAAAACTTTTACACATGATGGCCAGGTAGAGTTCTGACCACATTATGCAACTGAATGCATGTATCTTCCCTGTTTAACTCCCACTTAAAATACCTTTCCTAATCAATGGAAACCAGAACAAAGGGGGTCCTTACCCAGAGCAGCCATATTCTTAGAAACCTCCAGCATGACTTCACTGTACAAAGCCTTCTGGCCACAATCCAGCAGTGCCCACTCCTCCTCTGTGAAGTCCACAGCCACCTCCTCAAAGGGATGAGTGTCCTAGAAAGAAAAATAAAAACTTTCCTGTAAGACAGTCCTCTCCTATGTTTTCTTTCTTACTTCCAAAACAGAAAACAAGGGTTTGGAAGAGTCCAAATGCTGCTGTCTTAAAGGCACAAAACATGGCTTAGATACATCCAAGTTATAGAATGGCACTACTTGGGGAGCCCCCTCCCCTGGCCCAGAATAACCTCAAAGGAATAACACCAAAGCACCTGAAGGCAGGACAAAAAGCAATGGATGGAAACTAATCAAGGAGAGAAGAAACCTAGAACTAAGGATAAATTTCCTAACAGTTAGAACAATCAATCAATGGAACAACTTGCCTCCAGAAGCTGTGAATGCTCCAACACTGGGAGTTTTTAAGAGACTGGACAGCCATTTGTCTGAAATGGTATAGGGTTTCTGCCTGAGCAGGGGTTAGACTAGAAGACCTCCCTTCCAACTCTGTTATTCCATTCCATTCCATTCCATTCCATTCTATTCTCTCACCAAAAAGATTTTGTGCAGAGGAATCCCCTCTGACCTTTTCTCACTGGATCAGCAAAATACAAATTTCTTAGAAAACAGGACATACCTACCAAGAATTTTTTACCTGGCCTATTTTAAAATTTTGTAAATGACCCTGGAAATGTCAAATCACTTGACCAACAGTCTTACCATTAGAACTAGTTAACTTTGACTTTTCTATCAGAAATTTATCCTATAATTTATTTTTGAGTGCATATATTGGTCTATTTGTACAGTGGGCATTGTTTTACTTCATGTGTTTTATTTTTTAATTGCTTTTCCAAAATCATTTCAAAAATATTAAGGTTAATATGTTCCAACATATACATTAGATTTCCTAATACAAGATTCTTGTGAATTGTCTCTTGTTTGCATCCGTAGAAAAATTTGAAGGTTGAATGAGTGAGGCTCACTCGATCATTCTGTGGGGATACCAGGTTCAAATGCACAGAGTCAGCATTTGGTTTTCAAAGTAGCTCATGAGCAGAAGGAGTTTAATCTTTTCACTAAACTTACTTGGCAAGGTGGCCCCAGTTTGATGTTATTGAAAGGAACCTCTTCAGAATAAAAGGATGGAACTCCTCTTCCCTGGAGCACTGTTGAGATCTCTCCCATGAATGGCTCCTGCAACTGAAAGAATAGCCTGTATTTATGGTCCACTTTCAAATAACGTCAACCACGTTAGTTCACTTGCCTTACTTTTTTCTCTCCAACTCTACTTTTCAAACTCAAGTCAAGAATGGTATTCCTTGGGGACCTCCCTCCCCTGGCTGCATCTCTCTGGCCCAGTAAAATACACATTTCTTAGAAAACAGGAGAGATCTATTAAGAATTCTTTACCTGGCCTATTTCAAAATGTTCACAATCCTTGAAATATCAAGTCATTTCATCAACAGTCTTACCATTAAAACTTGTCAGCCTTGATGTAGAGGATTTTATATGAGAAATTTGCTTCTGAAGTGAATATATTGGCCTATTTCCGAAGCCATTTTTGTACAATTGGTATTGTTTCACTTCATGGCTTTTATTTTTCATGTGCTTTTCCAAAGTCTTTTCAAAAATATTAAGAAAGATTAAATTGTTCCAACGTCTACATTACATTTCCTAATTACATTTCCACTTTCAAATGAACTTACCTGGCAAGGTGGCCCCAGTTTGATGTTACTGAAAGGAAGCTCTTCAGAATAAAAGGATGGATCTCCTCTTCCCTGGAGCACTGTTGAGATCTCTCCCATGAATGGCTCCTGCAACTGAAAGAATAGCTTGTATTTATGATCTACTTTCAAATAACATCAACCATGTTAGTTCACTTGCCTTACTTTTTTCTCTCCAATTGTACTTTTCAAACTCAAATCAATATAAGAAAACCTGAGAACTCCTGCTCTGTGGGTGGCTGTTATTTCTTGATAATCGCCTGACACTTTTATGAAATACTTTATTGCTTCTTTCATATTTCCTCTTTTCCTTCTGATCAGGAGATGCTTCTTTAGCTCCTCCCCTTTACTTGACCATTATGGCCTTTCCATTTTAGGAATGTATTTATGCCTGTACTATCTCATCCTCTTTTTCCTTTAGATTTAGGGGCCTTTATCTCCTGAGAGAGACAGGATCAATATCCTCTTGCTTTGGAGTGGCTTCTCTGTGCTTCTTGCAGTGAGGAGACCACCAACTTGGCAGTTGAGGAGAAGACCTTGAAGTGAACATCGAGATACTTGCGAGAGTAAAATGCATCTCCTAAAAATATTGTGACACTCATTAAAAGCAATTTGGATGCTTCATTCTCTCTCATGTCAAATTCCCAGTCAGGCTTAACTTTTAGTGATAAATATTTTAAGATAATTTTGAATATATAGAACAGAAAAGCTGAACTAGGGAGAATCTTTGCTCCAATGGAATACAAACTTTTGGCAGATTTGCTCAATAAACCACTTTTGCAAAATGATTCTGAACATTATCCAATTTTAATGAATGATATACTCTCCATATCAAAGCACAGGGACATGCATACTGCAATAATATCCTAAGGTGGACTAAAAGAATAATATGCCATAAATTGGGACTAGATCACACTAGAATTAGTGAGTAACTGTAATGAAAATCATGACAGGAACTTCCATAACAAAAAACTGCCCACAGACAGACCATTCCCTAAACTGCTTTTTACAATAATATTCTGTGCTATTATTGATAAAAACTGACAGGGCACAATTTGATCATGTAGGTTCATATAGTCCAGTGGTGGCGAACCTATGGCACGGGTGCCAGAGGCGGCATTCAGAGCCCTCTCTGTGGGCACGCGCGCTGTCGCCCCACTCCTAGGCCTTCAGCTGGGTTTTATAAAACCTTTTTGCTTTAGGCCTCCACCGCCGTATGCAAAAAAAAAAAAAGCGTAAGTGGGTTTTGGATTGCAGTTTGGGCACTCTGTCTCTAAAAGGTTCGCCATCACTGATATAGTCCTTAAGGGTGGGAAGGCCTTTTTCATGTCCTCCATGCTGATGTTTTAAAGGCACAAAACATGACTTAGATGGATCCAAGTTGCAGAATGGTATTCCTTGGGGACCTCCCTCCCCTGGCCTGGAATAACTCACCAAAATCGTTTTGGGCAGGGGAATCCCCTACCCGCATTTCTCTGGCCCAGTAAAATACACATTTCTTAGAAAACAGGAAAGATGTATTAAGAATTCTTTACCTGGCCTATTTCAAAATGTTCACAATCCTGGAAATATCAAGTCATTTCACCAACAGTCTTGCCATTAAAACTTGTCAGCTTTGATGTAGAGGTTTTTATATGAGAAATTTGCCCATCCTGTAATTTATTCTTAAGTGGATATATTGGCCTATTTCCGAAGCCATTTTTGTACAATTGGTATTGTTTCACTTCATGGCTTTTATTTTTCATGTGCTTTTCCAAAGTCTTTTCAAAAATATTAAGAAAGATTAAATTGTTCCAACTTCTACATTACATTTCCTAATTACATTTCCACTTTCAAATGAACTTACCTGGCAAGGTGGCCCTAGTTTGATGTTACTGAAAAGAAGCTCTTCAGAATAAAAGGATGGATCTCCTCTTCCCTGGAGCACTGTTGAGATCTCTCCCCTGAATGGCTCCTGCAACTGAAAGAATAGCCTGTATTTATGGTCCAATTTCAAATAACGTCAACCATGTTAGTTCACTTGCCTTACTTTTTTCTCTCCAATTGTACTTTTCAAACTCAAGCCAGTATAAGAGAACTTGAGAACTTCTGCTCTGTGGGTAGCTGTTAGTTTTTGATTATTGCCTGACACTTTTGTGAAGTACAATACTTGTGGTAAGTAGTAATCATACAATCTTTTTGCTTATGTTAGCTGGGAAAATCATGTAGGCTTGGAATCTGTATCTCTATTTAGTTTTGCTGAAATGAAGCAATGTAAAAAATGGTAACTATATTCAAAGCATAATTTGGTAAATTATTTTACTGAATACCACTGCTTTTTAAGATCATTAAGCATCCAAATACTGTGAAGCATGCTTTTGCCTCGTAACATCAAACATATGTTTTGAAATATGCAACCTAAATACTATTTGGTCCACCTAAAAACAATTTTCATCTTTTATTTCATAACTTTATATAATCCTCTGTTCGTTCTTTGTACTAACTTGCATTGTGTGAAATACCTGTGTGAAAATAATTCTTGTTTCCTGCTGTTGAAGAAAATAATAAATAATAATAAACCCTTTATTATCAAAGTATAGCATGTATACAGTGAAATTGGCTGAGCCATGATTCATCCAAGCCAGGCATAAACAACATGGCGACTGCTTTAGAAAGAAGTTTGCAGTTTATTGAAGAGCCAGACAGAAAGATAGTTCTGGCAGGAAAGAGAGAAAAAGGACTGAGCACATGTGGGGAATGAGTTTTTATAGCCTCTCAAGCCTTTTGTTTGAAGCAGTTTGCTGTTCCTGTTTCAGGCTTTGTATTTCCTTAAGAGTTTGGGTGGGGTATACAGATTTTAGGTGTCTTTGTCTTCCTAAGCCACCCCCCCCCCAGAAGGAAATATTAAAAGGGCAAAAAAATATATTTCCTCCAAGGATCTTAAAGAGACAGAAAAACATGCCCAGTTTTCCTTGACAGCCCCAGGTCTTCCTCCCCCAAGCAGAAGCCAGCTATGTACAAATGCAAATGTAAACCATCAGAAAAGTTGGAGCTAGAAGCTTAGGAAGACAAAGACACCTAAAATCTGCATACTCCACCCAAACTCTTAAGAGTCATTAGCCCCACCAGGGAAGCAGGATATAACCCTTGGGACATAATAGGATTAACCCACCACCATCAAGAATACCAGAAAGACACACCCAGACTCAGGTCAGAATACGTGACACAGGAAATACAAAGGCTGAAACAGGAACAGGAAAGCCACTCCCAACATGTGCTCAGTCCTTTCTCCTCTTTCCTGCCAGAACCAGCTTTCTGTCTGGCTCTTCAATAAACTGCAACCTTCTTTCTAAAGCAGTCGCCATGTTGTTTATCCCCGGCTTGGATGAATCATGATGGAAGACTTTTCCTTCAACACTGCTTCTAGCCACAAATATTATCTAGGAGAAGAAATATAAGTTTCCAACATCTGGTTTGCTTAATAGATCCTGATCATGAGACAGAGTTCACTTGTCTTAAGTTCATAGCTAATGGTACTGACCAAGATTTCTAAAAGGACCAGTTGATGATCCAACTGAAATATAAACACATATTTTTGTGGATGGGGAAGAGCTATTTATTAGTAGATAGAGGAGCCCTCTTGGATTCAGGGTTGGGATCTGCTTCCCTGCTTTGAGAATCCTGAATGGAGGAAACATTAATCAGCCATTCAGCTTCAAGAAGCACAACAATGAATATAAGCTATATCTTTATTGTAAGAGCACACTAATGATACCTTGCAATTCTGAAAGCATTTTTCCGATCCTCTCCATGTACTCTCTGGAAAACTAGGGTTTTTATGAAATTTCATTCCCCCCCCCTCCACCCCCATCACTATGTGGGAATTGAGATATCTTTTGCATTATGGCCACATCTTGTCCAGTCCATGAAAA